AAAGACATGAATGATTTATTATTTTATCATTTTCTGTGTTTAGTTATACAATAATTAAATGCCTTAACTTTAACAACATATAAGTTTAGGGGCATCCGCTACAAGATGTCGCTAGTTTCCATACAGAAAAAGGATTTGTCTTAAAGTATTGCAGTTTCAGGGCCCTGGATAATGCATCAGGATGCATAATTTTTGTTATACCTATACCTAACTTAGCAATAAAAAATTACCTTCAGGTCAGCCATTCCCTCAAAGCCTACCCTGTAGAGATTTTTGGCACCATTATCCCACACAACATATGCAGCAGATCGTGGACTAGCTGCTGACCAATCTTGGATTTCATTGACTTTTCCACGCCTACAATTTCCACCATCTTGATCTTCCCACTGCCAATCCACCTTAAATAATATTCTATTTAATATCACTTAATGTTTTACTGAAATAAACATTGCATCATAATAGACTCTACGCATTTGACTAAAATAAATCCGAAATTATTAGATTTAACTAATCAATTTTTTTTATTACTCTAAAACTTCTTTCTATTTAAAGAATTTGTTTCTCTTTAAAATGTTTTTTTTTTGTTATAATTTTTTTTCAACATTTGTAATAATCACTTACCCCTCTTACGACTCTGGCTCCTGGAAAGATACCCCTGACAGCCTGTTTTTTACTTTTTCTTCGTGGTTCAACCAAACATCGTTGTGCCCCTGGTGCACTAATTCTATAAAATCTATGACGTAAATTATGTTTATCTCCATGATAACAGACAGAGCATAGATCATAATTGCTGCATTCAGCACATTTCCAACGTATACCTAGAAACATTTTCATTGTGTTAGCAAAGTATGGAATAATTTGAAAAAGTTAATTAATATCTATTAGTCCCATTAATTGAAGTTAATGAATTTGTTGTTTAATTGTTGTTTAATCACATAAATTTTCATTAACTATATAGAAACATTGGCAACAATATTGTGAATTGACATATCTCTTGTTTATTAAACTTTTTTTTAATTTTTTTAATGCCCTTGTATTAATATAAATATTTGTATAATATATTTATATAAACTACATATTTAATTATAATTATATATTATATTTCTTTAATTGTATAAATTGACTGACCAGATTAAAAATACAGTGGAAGGTCCTTTATTTAAGTTTTCTCATTATAGTATAGGATAGGATAGGACGCAATAGGATGGCCTCAAACAGGAATTATGGTGGGACATCATGAGACACATTAAGTCAGCCCTCTTCAACAGTACATGAAGATCACAAATACTCTGTCAAGTGTGACGATAAAAAAGAGGAAGAAATTGTATAAGCCAAACATACCAAATATGGGTTGTTGCCTGCAAGTATCACACATAGTTCCTTCATGTTTCACACCAGTAGGGGCACTATCCAGAATCCGCAGATCATAGGCACCTGAACATCTATAATTTGCAGCTGTTCCATTATCCCAAACGACTACTACTTCTTCTGGAGACTCAAAATTCCTTACAGTGCCAAGATGGCCCTCTCCTCCATCCTAAGCAGAATGGTTATAAAAATTATAAACAACATTAGTAAAGCCTGGATGCTCATAAAAATAAAATAGGATAAAAATGAAATGATTCATCACAAAATATAAATTATATAAAATTATAAATTTCCAGGCAAAGCACTCAAATATGTATTGTTTTCGTGTTTTTTTTACCTGTTTTCCCCACTTCCAATCTGGACCTCGAATCACACGAGCTCCTACTCCTTCCATCATAAAACGGGTTGGTCTAGATGATGTTGATGAAACAGAGATATTACTCTCCATTTTGACTTTCTCAGAGGTATATTATAAAATAATTATATTTCTTTTAATAAACCTAAAAAGTTGGAAATTAGAAACCGAGAATCAAAACTTTGTTTGACACCAAAGAGTTTTGACACTTTCGAATGGCATCTGACGTCTGACAGTAGTAGTGGTTCTATTTTTCCAACTGAAAAGGCAAAGGCATCATACCTCCTAAGCAACACAGCTTAAATTTTTTTTATGAAAAATGATACTGAGTCAAGGAAATAACAAAGAAATGCTGATGATACTGAGTACCGAGACTAGTCTGTAATAGCTTGATTTCTCATTATGTAAGTAGTAAGGGTGCATGCCGTAAGATCAGGAAGTAGAGAATTGGTTGCTACAGACCTGCTCAGATTGCAATGCAGGATGTTGCTTTAGTTGACGTCGAGGATGCGCTAGTATTTGAAGTGTGAAGACAGGAATTGTTTCGTTGCTGGTCACTGGCTTAGAAGGAACATTAAGGGGAAGATTTGTCACAGAGCGAGTGATATATCTCTGTAAAATAACGATGCTGATATTGTTGTTTGAAATATTTGATCTAAGCTGACTTTAAATATCTCATTAGCGCGATTCAGGTTTTTTTGTTGTTTTTTTTTATTGCTCTTGTAGGCAGACGAGCATACGGCCCACCTGATGGTGAGTTGTTATCGTCGCCCATGGACTTCAGCAATGCCAGGGGCAGAGCCAAGGCGCTGCCTACTTGTGGAGAGTATTAAGCGTAATACTCTCCACAAGTCTCATTTGAAGAAGGACATGTCATAGCGCTCGGGAAACACCGTGGAAGGGAACTCATTCCAAAGCCGGATGGTACGTGGCAAAAAATATCTCTTGAAACGCACCGTGGATGACCGCAGTGGCTCCAGGTAGTATGGATGAAATCTACTCCGGTGGCGGGCAATGCGATGGTAAAAACGAGATGAAGGTATCAACTCGAACAATTCCTCAGAGTACTCCCCATGGAACATATGGTACGAAATACAGAGGGAACCGAAGTCCCTCCGCAGACCCATAACGATCCAAACGATCCGTGTGAATGGAATTATCGACAATCCGAACGGCCCTCATCTGTATGGAATCAAATGGAAGTAGTTAGTATTTGGGAGCCCCGGCCCATGTGAGAGCAGTACTCCACGCGAGGCCAGACCTGGGCTTTGTATAGCAAAAGTATTTGTCCAGGCGTGATGTGCCGCTTCGCTCTGTTGACTCCCTGCATTTTTGACGCCAACTTGGCTTTGCCTTCCAAATGACTCCGAAATTAGACATCGCCCGAAATATCGACCCCGAGTATCTCAATACTCTTGGAAGGTTGCAGGGATACTCCTTGAAATTGCGGCACCATGACAAATTATTCTTTCTTCGCAGTGAACGCGCAAACTTGTCTTCAACGGTTTAAATTGAACTAAGTTCAATTCATCCCACTCGGAGACTCGTCCCAGAGTTTTCCACCTCAGACACAAGTTTTGATCGTCTCTCTAGCACCACGCTCCGAGAGACTCTGATGACCGATATATCCCGCATCCCCCGTGATGTCATCCGCATAGCAATGCGTGCCCTCAATAGACAGCATGTTATTGATATACAGGATGAAAAGTATGGGGGAGAGCACCGGACCTTGTGGAACGCCAGCTTTAATAGTCAGCGTCTAGAATGAGCTCGATGCTCCACCCATCCAAAAAGCTAGCGATCCACTTGCAGAGTCCCTCGGGAATTCCTTAAGATGGTAGCTTCGACAGAAGTGCCCTATGCCAGACCCTGTCGGACGTCTTCGCGATATCAAGGCTCACAGCGAGAGCCTCGCCCTTGCTCTCCAAGGCTTCAGCCCACCTGTGAAGCCACCTGGGCCTTCAGCCCAGAAGTTGCGTATTTATTATTCGCTCCATTAATCTAGCTTCCTTGGAAAGCAATAGACCTATAACTCGGCGGGTCCGACCGGCCACCTTTCTTGGGGATAGGGTGGACGTGGGTGCTCTTCCATGAAGACGGAACCCTGTTAGTACTATATCAGAGGTGATATAAACGCGTTAACGCAGGTATCAGCAGCTTAGGGGCGCACGTTTTCAGAACCACTGCAGGGATGAAGTCTGGCCCAATTGACTTATGGACGTCCAGGTGTCGAAGCTCCCGCCTGACTGTACATTGTGTAAAGCATATTTCCAGCAGAGAGCTATCATACCGGAGTATGTTCGGTGGGTGACACCCGCATCGTCGCAGTCGAGCTCGAGGCGAAGAGGTTGACCAAAAGGTCAGCCTTCTCTTTCGCCTTATGGGCCAGACTATCATCGTAATATGAATAAAATTATCTATAAGATAAAATTGTTGTTTTATTTACATTCAACCATTTCATATTTGATTAGACATTACGTTCATATTAAAATCAATACAATAGAATATTAATGACAGAAATGTTTTTAAAAACAAATGCTAGTGGCCAGTATGTATCATTTCGTGCGTTACGTTAACTCTTCAACACATCGGACTTGCGCAGTGGTGGGAGATTAGACCTGTATAAGTTTCCTTCTGCAGCTTTGGCGAGCGATCAAAAAACACGGTTCCCGGGGGGATAGCTCTTTAGTCGCTCGTCAACTCTAGTGACGTGCTCCGATTTCGTCTTGGCAATAGCCCTGTTGTAGGACCTTTTCCTTCTCTCTGAGACGTTAAGATCCCGACGTCTCCTGGCATCATCCCATGCCGCGTATGCGGACCGCTTGAGGTGTGCAGCATCCCTTCTGGCATTGTTATACCAAGATCTGCCACGATTCTATGGGTACCTCAGAAAAAGGAATAAACAGAGAAGGTTCGAAGGTGAGAAGCCATAGGCCAAGGCGAAATCGTAGGCAGCCCTACTTGGGAGGTCAGTGGCCCTGGACCCCGACCACTTTTGGTGGTGAGCGTTAACAGGTTTCAGATGTACTTTTTCTAAGCTATAATAATAATCGCTATACTAACGTAATTTACCGCAAAGAAAGCTAATGGGCTATTTAATCTTTGCCTGTTTCATTGAATAAATGGAAATAATGGTAAATGATAATTGGGAATATAATGTACGAGATTTCTTTTGCCTGTCCAAAAGTATCAAACAAAAAAATATTAAACGTCTGTACTTACCCATTACTACTATAAATAAATAAAAAAATACATAGTTTATAAGTTGCTCAAAATCTTTAATAAATAAAAAAGTATACAGTTTAATTAACTTAAAAAGGAGACAGGATTTATATACAAAAATGCCTAACCATCGTAATAAATATGAAAAAGCCAGAAGACGATTAGCTGCTGTTACCTTTCTATCTAACATATCTCTCGACGGCAAACACAAAGAAAAAGAAATGGATTTGATTGACAATAAGTCGTATAAAAACGATAAAGCCAATGGTCCGTTAAAAACTGTTGAGATATCAAACGATAAAGAAAATGTTTCAAGGAACAGTGTTCATGGCCGCAGTAAGAATCAATCAAGTCCTCATCGCCACGGGACAGATAATTATTCATTAAGTTCAGATTCAGAATATACAACTAATTTAACTCCAGTGAAAAGTGGATTGAACTCTAATTTCAGAGACAGGTAAGATTTATGTGATGATTTATATTTAATAATAAGAAATAAGAACTTAATGCTAAGACAGTGTCTCATGCTGAGCTACTTTAAATAATTAGTTAGTATTCATTGTGAATATAAATGTAGGTTGTATAATGTATTTGATAGTCATCAATTAGGTGAAAACATTTATACTGATAAAGTACATATCAAGTGGTGCAAGGCTATTTGGTTTAAACAACATTTTTGCAAATCTACAGGAGACCCATTTAGAGTTGAAAATTTATAAAAAAATCACAACAAAAAACCTTCGGGTGTTTACTGGTGATAGGACCCCTTGTGAGTCCACACGGGTAGGTACCACCGCCCTGCCTATTTCTGCCGTGAAGCAGTAATGCGTTTCGGTTTGAAGGATGGGGCAGCCGTTGTAACTATACTGAGATCTTAGAACTTATATCTCAAGGTGGGTGGCGTATTTACGTTGTAGATGTCCATGGGCTCCAGTAACCACTTAACGCCAGGTGAACTGTGAGCTCTACCCATCTACGCAATAAATAAATAAAAAACTTTAGCAATTTTAATGGGGTAAACTTAATTGAAGTTCAATTAAAAACATTGAATTTTTGATACTAATACCAAATAAAACGGTCCTTAATTACAAAGATAAATATCACATATTTAGAGAAATGTCGCTTCAACCAAATAGCTTTTCACCCCTCAATATAGTATTTCCATCATTCTCTCAAATAAGACATAATTTAAAATACTATAATAGTTTCATCCCGTGTTTATTATTTTCATTCTATTATTTCTGATATTTTTAGTATAATACACTTTTTGTGGTCAAGAACAACTCATGTTTTAACTATTACAGTAAAACTATTTTTAATATACATTTACCCTTTTATCATCAGATGTTCATCAGGAAATATTGAATCATCAAAAGAAAAACATGTATCATTGCGTAGTAAGAGAGGACATCTGGTGTCAATGGCTGGTATTAATACTGAAGAGAAAAGTAGTTCAGAGAGTCTTACATTTGGTATGTATGTCAGCACTTATATTGCGCGAATTTAACTGGTATAAAATCTCAGACTTAATAATTTTCAATAATAATATAACTATTAAAATCTGGCTACTATGCATTAACTATTTGTATTCTAAGTATGTGTAAAACGCTCATCTGTTGGGCTACATGGTCGGGCCCATTTAATGCTAATACATAAGCAGATGATTGCAGTACAAATATATTTATGCTAAGCAGTATAATTAAAAAATTTAGTAAAAAATGTAAATCTACAAATTGAGTTCAAGTAGTAAGACACATTTAAACATAAATAAAAGTCGGTGTTGCAGGTCGCTTCCGTACCAGCAGTACATGTATACCTGAGAACCATATTATGATCAATGAAGTACGTTTTGTAAGATCAACGAAAGGAGTTACATTTAGAGATGAGCGGCTTGCGTTTGTGCCGGAAAAAAGTGTACCATGTGCCATTTTCAGCACCATTCCATATTCAAGAACTACAAGAACTGCCAGGTATGAAATATCGTCAACATATTGAAATTTTTAACACTTCATAATTAAAAGTAATTGCTGTTTTTTTTTTTTTATTGACCTTGTAGGCAGACGAGCATACGGCCCACCTGATGGTGAGTGGTTACCGTCGCCCATGGACTTCAGCAATGCCAGGGGCAGAGCCAAGCCGCTGCCTACCGCCTACCGTGTAATAGAACATATTTATTGTCAATTGGCCAATAATACCTTGCAAGCAAAATCAACTTAACTTTTAAATAAAAACAAACTAAACCACTTCCAACTATTTTTTCAGAATAATGTGAAACTTAGATACAGGTATTCCATAATAGGTAAAGGATACACTGTATTAGCTATTCATGGACCGATTACATATATCTGGAAAATACTTAGATTATATTAAACATTTGCTTGGTACTGTTCAGAATAGAAAAATTCAATTGGGGACACATGAATAGCTTAATTAATATTAATATGCAGTTTTATGAAAGTTACTTGCTTGAAATATATGTTGTTAAAATGTACAGATCTAGCCTAGCTATCTAAACTATTTAAATGACTGACTATCAGCAAGCCAATAACTTTGAAAAGTAAAAATGAACTATTGGATCCTATTCAAGAATTCATTTTTATCAATAGAAACAATACTTTCAGATCTGAGCTTAGAAAGGATGGAGTGCGCCGAAGAAATACATCAGGACCTAGACCCCTATCTGCAATAACAGACAATGGGGTTGATCCATTTCATCTCTTAGGCTTGGAAAAAGAAGAGAATGGTCAAGACATATCTTATTCTAAACTTCTTGTACCATCTAGAGTACACACATTAGAGCAATACCGTAAATTGTATGATAATGAGTACATTGATAAAAATTGGAAGATATTAAATCGTCACCCTCATGTTATAGCCAGGTAAAAGTTATGAATTTTGAACTATGAATAAAGGAAAGTTAAGCTTGTTTGAGTCCATATACAATTTAATTTGAAATGCTTAGCGCATGTGTGTCCAAATATGTTTTGTTATTAAATCACTTTCATTTATTTCGCATTTTGATGTCTAGCAAAACAATTTGTTCATGGAAACAAAAAGTGAATAAAATATTTGACCAAAAAATAATAAAAAATTATGGTTATTCAATGAAAACAATACTGAAATTGAATAACTATTTCATTCATATTAAACTACTTTCATACATTGCTTTGAGCTGAAAAATAAATATTAGAATTAGCATTTACTTTTGAAATACTACACATAACAGATCATGATTTAATGATAAATCAGTAATCACAATCATTTCATCACTAACAAATTTAAATTTCAGGACTAAGTTATTGACGAGACACAAGGATAAAAAATGGTAAACAACAAAAGTATAAATATCACCATGCTATGCAACAATAGTTTTAGGCTAATGCTATTTAACACAGCTTCATGATATCAGTACTTACTGACTAAAGCTATTAAAATGAACTGTGTCGAGGACACATTCATTAGGTATAAAAAATGTAAAAAATATTAACGTATGTAGGTCTTAGCGATCAGAGTTATCATATTTCGTATTTATCAAGAGTCAATTATAGTAATTTTGGAAAGATTATTTCCTACTTACGCTAGTAACCTCGAGGGGTTATCCTAACTTCACTGGACGTATTTGTATTAACTTGCATGCTGGTTTTTAAACTAATAACTTACAAAAAAAACATATGTTTGCCCTCGTCTTCTTGCCCATCAAAAGTTATTCAATGATTTTTTTCAATACTGAATCTTAAGGTACACCAACTAGTAAAAGTTATATTTATTTCATACCAGCTGACCCGGCAGACTTCGTAGTGCCTCAATCGATAAATAAAAGACCCAAGCTTTTGTATAAGATATTTAATGTTATTTTTATTTAATTCTGAGCATTTTCATATTTGTCTGCCTTTTAAACCTTCTCTGGACTTCCACAAATAGTTTAAGACCAAAATTAGCCAAATCGGTCCAACCGTTATCGAGTTTTAGGGAGACTAACGAACAGCAACTCATTTTTATATATATAGATAGATAGATATTTAGATTTTGGTTCAGTACAAAAATGTTATTTTTTTTACTAATACAATGTAGTCAGCTTATCTGCAATTTTATCCGAAAATATTGAATGCAAGCATGAAATAATATTTATTAAATTTGGAAAATGCATGTTATTAACTGTTCCTTGAATCATACTGTTAGATAGTACATTCCTTTTTTCAATGTCTTTTTTAATTTACAAAAATAGATAGTGATTGTACATTAGTCATAAAAATGTTACAGAAATAGTTTCAAGATTAAATGACACACATGACATAATATATTCTCAGACTGTGGCTATTTGCCAAAGCAGTCACGGTTGCACCTAAAAACAAAACGTGATTAATAAAAACATACTTTCTGTATCATGTGAGGTTAATTGTTGTGTTCAGTCATTTAAGATTACAAGAGTGATTACTAAAATTATGCTTGATCTCATCAGTTTCTAATTTAAGAATATGTAATACTAATCTGATAGTATGTTTCAAGTTGACTGCCCACAATTAATAACTGGGGAACCTTTTTTGAAACAAGCATGTCAATATACAATAATGCTTTCCTCACTTCGATTTAAATGTTTATTGTAGGTGTTTCTCGTACGAGTCTTCCCAAAGGACAACGATAGCGTCCTCACCGCCCCACACTTCTGTTGATAATAAAACGTTCGACTGGGACGAAGGAACTTTGCTTTCACAAAAATATGTAAGATTTTATAATAACATATCTTATTATACCTAAACAGAGATCGCTAGAATAATAAAATATCACAAAATAACACTTAATAAATAAGCGTGTTGACTTAACGCGTTTCATTTTCACATTTTATGTAAAATGTACTGTAATCTCTTAATCAAGAGAAGCTAATAATAGTGTTCAAATACAGGCTAATACCAGTTTTTTTCTAAAGGAATTTAAATTAAAATAGCACTATTATTCAAGGACTACCTTTTAACTGCTGATAAAGTATGTATAGAGATGTTAATAATTAATTAAAGTTTTTGGAGTTGATGGACACGCTATGCCTTTCCGGCAACACGAATTATGAACAAAAATTGATGTAATATTTACATCTACGCTGTAGCATTTACCTCTTGAACGTTGACGTCATTATACAAAATAGAGTACTATTTATAGTATTACGTATTTACTAGTACGTACTCAATCTAGTATCGTGTTAAAACTATTAACTTACTTGTTTAAGAACAGATTTAAAAAAAAAAATGCATTCCGTATCGCTCCCAGGTTAATAGTAATTAAATTAATAGTAATAATAATAGATATTTGTATCATCTAAAAAAATCCACAGAACGTTCAGCTTAAATATAGGGTTACAGATTTATCGATTATTTGTAGACGTTCCAAACATCATAATGAGGATATTCAATGAAGTCAAGGAGCGATTACTACTTTGTGTAACTGTCGTATTTTATCCACAGGTTCACTACTGCCCTAATGTACTTGATGATCCAGAACTGATTGCGGGGAAACACAGGACTCTGTTAACGTTTACGTCTTACATGACGTCGATCATCGACTATGTTCGACCGCAGGACTTAAAGAAAGAACTGAATGATAAATTCCGAGAAAAATTCCCACACATTAAACTGACTTTAAGTAAACTAAGAAGGTATGGATAAGTCTGTTAAAATCACAAGATACAGTGACTGACTTAAAACATGATGTGTATTATTACCCTGAAATAACTTATTTATTGTCTCCTCACCTATTTGCTGGTAGCCAAGGGGGCTATTCCAGCTACAAGCGGACGGTTAGGTGACCTCACGGGTTCAACATGAGAGAATTTACTAACACTAGCTCTAGCAAGAGCAGTTTTTCGCAGAATTTACCACCGGACCGGAATCGCAACCCACTGAGAAGATCCGGCGAGAAACTCAGTGGGCTGTGTATATAAGTTAGTTCGCTCGTCGGAAATCTTCGTCGTAATTTTCTCTACCTAAGTGGCTATTCCGTCTGCGCGCGGACGGACTGACATGACAAATTTATGTTTTGTATTTTCGAACACCCACAGTCAATCAGCACTCATTACGACTCCGTCGCAAATACATTAAATTAAAATCAGACCATCGCATTTCAATAAACGTAAATAAAAATACGATTTGATTTTTAGTATAAAAAGAGAAATGCGGAAAATCGCCAAACACGACAGCGGAGGGATCGATTTGTTGTCGGTCGCTCAGGCGTACGTTTATTTTGAAAAGTTGATACTCGCGAACCTTATAAACAAGGACAACAGGAAATTATGTGCCGGAGCGTGCCTGTTACTGTCAGCTAAACTAAACGACGTTAAAGGAGAAATTCTGAAGGCGTTGATAGAAGTAAGTTTCGTGGATTGATTAAGTTATTATTAATTCGTCGACTGCGAGTGTGCGCCACATACGAGTGGTGAAATGGCTAATACCTGTCACTATGTATTCAATTATTTAAAAAGTCAAGTATACATAATGTGGCGTGTACTCGCGACTGCTCAGCGTTGTAAATCTACATGGTATTTATCTATCGTATATAAAATGGATGATGCGTCAACTAACAAAAAAGTGAGTTCTTAAGTCGCCATCTTGGAAACAGTTCCACAATTAATTTTTTTTTTGTGATTATTTTTGAAGGGAGTGTTGATTCCTACCCAATTCGATCTGTTACAATATTAATAATACGAATACCTATATAGTTAAGTGTTCAAAAAATAATAGGTCGTCAGGTTGGTGATTGGTGTTTAACCCAATACAACCGTATATAGTACAATACGATATGCTTCACATCGTGTACCTAAAAATCATTTTCAATTCTACCAGTCCATTTTGCGATCACAAAGTGATTATTTAAAAGTGTAGATTTTCGATAAGATCTGTTCGGTTTTTTTTGTCGGGTAAATTTCGTTCTAAACATCTAATAAATAAAATATGTTCAACAGCGCATAGAGACGACATTCAGACTGGACAGGAAGGATCTGATGAAGTTCGAATTCGCCGTTCTAGTGGCCCTCGAGTTTGGTTTGCACGTGCCGCCGTACGAAGTGTTCCCGCACTACCAGCGCCTGCTCCACGACTCGTGACCCTGGCGCCGGCTGGCCCTCGAGCCCTGCGTCCGCGTGTGCCACCGCCGGAGAGCCAGCATCGTCGCTGCCTGGGTCTAGTCCCCATTGCAACACCGTAGCATAACTGTGTCTTCGTACGTTCATTGTGTATACAAAAAAACATCGGTTGTCTGTAAAGTCGGTTTACTGACGATAGTTGAACGTGACAACGTCATAAGAAAATACTGATGGAATGGTTTCATTTTTCAATTATCGCAATTATCGTTGCTATAAACAATTGATACCACATTCACTTTTCACTGAACTTCATACTTGACGAAAACATGTAAATGTATTATTGTATAGCAGCTGTCCACGCGGATGCATCGCTCACTCAAGTAGGAGAGAGACAGATGTCGAACGCTGCCGAACGCGGGGGCCGATGGTGCCTCTTTGTCGCTCGTTGTGCGCTCTCGCTTGCACTTCAAGCCTTACATGGAAAGCCTCAGAGCGAGGTTTTTTCGTGCGTGCAGCCGGCTCCATCGAATTAAAAGACGTTGTCACGTCAAAAAGTATATTAACATAATATGTTGCTTGTATTATTTATTCGTTCGAGCAACACTCGACAACTGTTGCACCGATTTTGATGTATTGATTTGTGTTCATAAGCTTATGTTTCGAGTTGAAAATTGGTATATTCGGATTACGCTGATGTAAACGTAAGTTATTAACAGCAGAGCCCCATTTTGTCACGACCGAAATGACCAAAATAAATTGAGCCACCATCTGAAATCGGAGGCGCACAGGTTGGTTATTTATGAAATGGTTGCATCTTTGTGTACCCTTGAGTATGTCTTAGCGTAACAAGCACTTAAGGCTTCGTCAAACAGATCGCGTAATTAGCGCGCGTCAGAGCGCTAAACTGACGCCGAGATGTGTTGTACTACTGTGGTAACGTACTGTCAAACAGAGCGCCAGCGTTATAAGTACGCAACGCACTGTCGCGGCGTTAGAGCTGTTTGACAGTATATTACCATAGTAGTACAACACATCTCGGCGTCATAGCGCGGCGTCAGTTTAGCGCTCTGACGCGCGCTAATTACGCGTTCTGTTTGACGAAGCCTTTAGAGTAGATGCTTCATAGTATAGTGTAGTTCGACATAAGAATGCTATAGTGATAATTGTGGCGGCCGTATCCTATGTGGCTTATGTGATAAGTCTCAAAGAAAAACTTTGTTGAGTAGTATGTAATTGTTACAGAATATTATTAGAAAATAGGTTTAAAGATTATTAATAAAAATAAATTAATATTTGTCGGGTGTAAGGGATTCGTCGCTTAAAACAAACACGTTAATGAAACACATAACCTACGTCAAATTCAAATTGAGCTGCTCGGGGTCAATGCACTACAGTAGCTATTACTCTAGTGCATTGACCCCGTCATCAAGAGGAAATGCAGGTGCCAAGGAATAAAAAAAAAGTAGATAATTGATTCAAATGCTATTAATCTATCTGAACCCGCTTCAGATAAAGTACGAATTTATTAAAAAAAACGTACCTGGGTCAAGAAAAACGATTATCAAATATAACCATTTACCCCATTATTTCTCCATTCTACAATAATTTGTAATTTAATTAATGAAAAAATATGGGAACGTTCTAGAGGCATATATACCTACACTAGCGACCCGCCCTCGCTTCGCTTCGGAAACTGTAATTTATTATTGATTTCTCCGCTATTTAATGGATGTTATTATACATATAAACCTTCCTCTTCAATCACTCTATCCATTAAAAAAAACCGCATCAAAATCCGTTGCGTAGTTTTAAAGATTTAAGCATACATAGGGACAGAGAAAGCGACTTTGTTTTATACTATGTAGTGATAAAGCGTATTGCACAAAAGCATTTGCTCTCAAAGTATATATAATGACACTTCATTATTCAGAGGACAGAGGGAATACGTCTAGTAAAGACGCGCTAATAACTTAGTAATCGTAGTATAGCAACGGCAATACCGAGTTGTGTTTATTACATTAACAATAAACTTCAAGCACCAAAGTTAGGTTGTACGATGTAAGTTAAGATCAGTAACGTGCTTACGTTTTATGTTTTTCAAAAGTCTCAAATCGAAGCTCAAAAAGGAAACTTATGATTTTGAAAGTAAAAAATAGCGAGTTAGTGGAATATAGGCTAGAATAGGAATTGCGATTCTTCCCTGAAAAGATAAATCTTTAAATAAAACCGAACACAACCTGGGTCTTGGGTATTTGATGTCAATTATAATTATCGTAATCTGTGGTAATACTTTTAAACCGATTTTAAAAAAGGAGGTTCTATACTTGATAATACATATTATTAATATTTTTATGGGTGTTCACCAATTACTCAGTTAAGTGGGGACCGGTTTTTCAATTTTTTTTATTGAAAGGGTAATATGTCCAGTTGATCCCACTGTTAAGTTTAAATTGATGTACTTCAGTCTTAAAATAGGTTTTAAGTTTTTTCTCGAAACATTAAAACATAACATTGCCTAGATTATACTCACAGACTGTCAATAAAATATCACAGGACTGTGATACTGTTCTGCTTAAAGTAGTTATTCTCGCCAATTGCCTCCATTATTATATTAGGTGCGTGTTAGTATTAATAAACAAACAAAGAAATTAATGAGCATACTTAACACGTTTACTGTTCATTAACGAAACAAGTAGACGGATATCACTGACAATTATAACTGATAACGGCCGTCTGGTGTAGTGGTAAGTGACATGGTCACTACACAAGGTGGTCGCGGGCTCGCATCCAGCCAAGGGAAGATATTTGTATGATAAATATAAAATGTCTTTTCCAGGGTTATGGATATATATTAAATACATGTATGTGTATAATAAAAATCTTACATTTATTTGCGTTATCTGGTACCTGTAACACAAGTTCTTTACGAGCTTAGCACGGGACCAGTTAACGTGGCGTGATTGTTGGTAAATATTTATTTATTTAATTGTACGAGACTAAACATACTAAATGACTAAACACTAAACGGCTTAAAGCACTAAATATACGTAGAAAAATATCTGTGGCGTTTAATATGTCACTGATGACGTATTGGTGCTTAACATCTAGGAAGACTTGGCGGAAATGCAAGGAGCCAAGTCGTGTGAATAGTTTTATTTTGTTAATTTAGTGTTTCTTCAGGTTTAAACGCTTATTAACGATGGTTTATTAACTATTTAGCTTTTGTAAGAGTGCATAAATGTGGAGAAATGAAACAGTCACTGGACATGGCTTCTTAGGTTCTTCCAAAAAAGTCCAGTGAAGTCGATGTAAATAACCACAATTTTAATTAGACTTTATTTCATGTCGCGTCATCTCGTTTCATTTCATTGTATCCCAATTGGTTATAGTCTGAATAAAATCCACTTCACCTCATTTCATCCATGTCACTTTCCACCTCATATTAAATTCCATTACCTTCGCATTTTTTGTCGGCAAATGGAACTATTACTTAATGTGAGTCGACTATTATCAAAGCCGGCAATGTGACTTTTGGACAATTAGTGGTAAATCAGAAAAACGAATTATTGACTTTGTATTCCATTGGCAGTCACAAAACTCTTCTGAACGACATCTTAGATAAATAACAGGTTAAGTATTAACCTTTATTTAATGCAGGTTTTGAACCGTATTCTTTGAAGGAGACGATTATATTCAAATCAATCTGTATCGCCATATCAATAACATTTTTTTGTCCAAATGCACAGATTGCCACCTTTGATAATAGACGACTCATGTCTAGAAAACTATTAAAAAAATAATAGCTAATGCACAACTAAACAATAATATATTAACAAATAACTAAACATCTAAAAGCAGAACATTATGTTTGCTAAAAAATGCCAATCGATTATATTGAACCTTTCACACGATATTGTCGAGTTTGCCCAAATTTATTTGTTATATTTGTTCACATTGACGAACAGTGCCTTGTTTCGAAAGAGTTTCACAGCTCTATTAAGCTGTATTCAAAGGTCAGAAGCGGAAAATTAATGATTTAACATCTGAGGCTCATTGAGGACTTGACCTCTAGGTGAATTATCTCATGAAATCTATCTTTGATTTAGTCACTATAAATAAATAATACGTTAGGTACTAATTGTTAAAATAAGAAAATGCAAAGTTGAAAACATTTATATTCGACCTTTTATGTCTAATGTCGGAACTTTTATACGGAAAGGAATCAATCGTACTTGAATGAACTGATTGTTAAAGCAGATGGAATATCAAACGTCAGATTTCCAAACGGTCGGAGGTTTTTTTTTAAAATCTAAACCACATTTACATAAAATACAAAGACGCTACGCTTAAATAAATTAAAAAAAAAACTTTGGTCTGTAATATTTTAGTATATTACGTAAGTTGAATACGATTATGGTTCTAAGTCACAATTTGCTGATGAAACTTGCCATTAGATGGGTTTACCGTAAAGCCCACTGTAAATACTTTTCTAAGGTGCATAAAACATGGCGATGTATCCTGTCAAGGCCAAACATGTTACTGTGATATGAAAAAAAATTAATACTGTATTTATGAACGGCGCGTAGGAGTAAATTATAAAACTTTATTAAAACCCGAACTATCCATCCTCATTAGCTTTTACTTAGAAACGAATTAACGTTATAAACGTCGTAAATTATTTATTAATATTATTGTATCTGATTATTCGCGAAAGAAACTATTAAAAAGTAAGGTACAACAACGAAGTAGAAGATTAATAATTTATGTATAGATTAAGATCATTTGTTTGATTGTTTTACGTGTTATTAATTTAGTATCATTCGAAGCCTCCAATAAGTGGCTATGTTCTAATAAAAATGTTTCGAAACAATTGAAATTTTACTTTTAATTCAAAGGTAACCAACACATTTTAAGAATCATTGGCATCTTGTTCTTCGTAAGTTTTTTTTTATTGCTTAGATGGGAGGACGAGCTCACAGCCTACTTGGTGTTAAGTGGTTACTGGAGCCCATAGACATATACAAAGTAAATGTGCCACCCACCTTGAGATATAGGTTCTAAGGTCTCAAGTATAATTACAGCGGCTACCACACCCTTCAAACCGAAACGCATTACTGCTTCACGGCAGAAATAGGCAGGGTGATGGTACCTACCCACGCGGACTCACAAGAGGTCCTACCACCAGTAATTACGTAAATTATAATTTTGCGGGTTTGATTTTTATTACACGATGTTATTTCTTCACCGTGGAAGTCAATTGTGAACATTTGTTGAGTACGTATTTCATTAGAAAAATTGATACCCGCCTGGGATTCGAACACCAGTGCATCGTTCGACACGAATGCACCGGACATCTTATCCGTTAGGCCACGACGACTTCTAAGTACCTCTTACCTTTACTGTGCCTCTTACCTTCTTTGTACCTTTACCTAATTAATTACCTACACCAGAGGTCACCAATTAGTTTCGCACGGGGTCCGTTTCCAAGAATGAAATGGCCGTCGTGGGCCGCACAATATTGAAGCGGACGTCCGTCATTTGGCGACCCCTGACCTACATTATATAATTAGGTGGTATCTTCCCGTCCGAAAATACCACTCACTCCTCATAAGATTTCCGTAGCTATCCATTCGATAGTTTAAAAACATAAAATTCTTATAAAGACACTTATTTTACGAACTAAGTAATCGCTAAGATTAACTATAGATGCAAGTTCTCATCAAATTTTTTTCTTTCGAGCACATCCGAAATATATTCTTCCATGAATTTTCTTTCGTTATAACTAGAGACTAGAATGCAAATAGCATCCTTAGACACGATCTCAATTCTGAATTTATTAAATACCTAACGGTTTTCACACCCTTGAAATTGTTACATAAAAATTCTTCGCGGTAGATATAGAATGGTGGCACTTTACGGTTCGGTTTATTTTTTACACGATGTTATTCCTTTATTCTGAAAGTTCATTCGCAGACACGTACGTATTTATAAGTAACTACGTATTTAATTAAAAATCATGGTAGATGTCTGTACATGGCATAGATACTCGCATCGCACGAAACTCTCACAGCAGGTGTCAAGCTTTAGGCAATGATAACTATAACAATTTTCGCATTCCGGACACCAAATAAAAAAGGGTGCGTGTACTTATGTACGCGCGTAAGAAGTTTTTTTTTTTTTTTTTTAATATTTAATAATTAATAATAAATATTTAACGTTAATAATTTAATAATATTTAGTATGAATTATATTAAATAATAATTTTGTCATTTATATTACTAAAAAATTAATGCTAATAACACTTTTTTTTACGAGTGTACATGCGCGAAAGTTCACCTGCGGCTATATTCAGACTCGCCGAGTTACGTCGGTCGTATTGTAATGAGCGATTTAGTGGGCAACTTCATTCTGTTAATTTTGTGTCACGGTGCGCGCGCATCGTGAAATTTCACTCTCATCAATTTTTCATAACGCGTCTAAAGAAGTATAACTTCAATAAACAGGATCTAATTGTGTAGTTATTCTTGTATTAGACATAATAAAAACACCTACAACATACATACAGGTATTTCGTGGCACCGATACGGCTCAATGAAATTACAGCATTACTGTTCCCAATTGCGAAATATAAGTGAAATACCTAATTTCCAGAAACATGTCTTGTTACAGCTTGTGAGTTTTCTAACCATTCGCATTTCCAATTTCTAGTGTCTGTTCCCAATTGCGAAATATAAGTGAAATACCTAATTTCCAGAAACATGTCTTGTTACAGCTTGTGAGTTTTCTAACCATTCGCATTTCCAATTTCTAGTGTTCGGTGCAATTGAAGAGACGTGCGATTTGATAAAAATCATGACGGTCAAGGTAATAATAATAATACATTTACGACTGTGTTGAATTAATAGATAGCTATAGAAAATTTAATTAATATTTGGTACAAATCAAGGGATGTGAAATAGTGTTGTTATGATCTTTACCATGTGTGCTAATTCATACAAAATGTATAGCGAGCGATGTTAAGATAAAATATATAGTATCTTCGCCGTGTGTCACGCCCTTTATTCGGAAATAATATCTACGCGACGCACGTTTTAGTCTCTTATAAATAATCTTTGTAAAATTTACGACATATTTCGAATTTATACCTCTTTATTATTGTTCAGGTATTGGCACTATGTTCCTTCCTGTGTCTCTTGCGGACATGCTGGGGAAAAGAAATTGCTGCGCAAAAATTCCAAAAACAAGAGAAACTTATGGAGCCTCTTGATTTTGTCTCCGACGATCTTAAACAAGAGGGCACAGTTTGGCGACTAGGGCGACCGTGGAATTTATGGACATGGGGTTAATTGAATATATATATATTATTTATTTATTGCTTAGATGGGTGGATGAACTCACAGCTCACCTGGTGTTAAGTGGTTACTGGAGTCCATAGACATCTACAACGAAAATGTGCCACCCACCTTGAGATTTAAGTTGTAAGATTTCAGTATAGTTACAATGGCTGCTTCACCCTTCAAACCGAAACGCATTACTGCTTCACGGCAGAAATAGACAGGGCGGTGGTATCTACCCGTGCGGACTCGCAAGAGGTCCTACTACCTTTACTTTGTATTAAAAAAAAATTAATTATATACGTGATTGCTTGAGTGACCTAACGGACCACCTGGTGTGAAGTTGTTACCGAAGCTCAAAGACATCACAACTTGAATACACTCACTAACCTTGAGACATGAGGTCTAAGTCTCACTCGTATCATTTTACGTCTGACTTATCTTTAAAACAAGTTGAGCAGAGCCCTGAGCGATAGGCCGTGATTTGTTTTGCCCTTATCATTGGTGATGTTCATAAATGTCATTTCTTTTTTTTTTATTGCTTAGATGGGTGGACGAGCTCACAATCCACCTGGTGTTAAGTGGTTACTAGAGCCCATAGACATCTACAACACCCACCTTGAGATATAAGTTCTAAACTCTCGGTATAGTTACAACGGCTACCCCACCCTTCAAACCGAAACGCATTACTGCTTCACGGCAGAAATAGGCAGGGCGGTGGCACCTACCCGCGTGGACTCATAAGTGGTCCTATCACCAGTAAAGTGGTCCTACCACCAGTAAAGTGGTCCTACCACCATGATGACTCTGTGTGATGACTACTCCCTGGTCATTACTCTCGTCGAACCCGTTGCTTGCGACGAAGAACTCGGCGAGTAAATTAACCCACAGACACAGCCCACTGAGTTTCTCGTGGTATCTTCTCAGTGGGCTTCTGATCGGGAGGTAGATCGTCGTCAAGTTTGAGCCCCGTGAGCTAACCTACTAGTTGAATCTAGAATAACCCCTCGAGGTTACTAGAATAGGTAGAAAAAAAAATTACTACTCTCCATCAGGTGTTCCGTATGATCGTATGCCTTCAATGGCAATAAAAAGGCGAGTGTCCCTTTCAAACGGGAACACAAAACTGTTTCGCGGCGGAAATAGACAATCGCGGTACTAACACGGGTTTTAGTAGCATTGTTGTGCTTACGCGCCACGCAAGTAATCTATATCTATACTAATATATAAATCTACACTGGTTTTTACGGATGTTCCGTTATAACTACTGAACCATGCATCCGATTGACTTTAAACTTAGTATCCATGTAGAAAATACATGTACTTAATGGATAGGCTAACATTTATGTCGTGTTGTACTTGCTAATAATAATGTTAATTTTAAATGCTCAGCGAAGCGGACGAGTACGGCTAGTGTTTTATAATTCTAAGTTTGTATTTATTAATCCTTATCCCTTTAGGTCGTTTAATGTTAAACAAAGCCTTAGGACACTCTTCAGCCAATTTCGAGAGTGATTATGAAGGACGAGCTGTTCATCGTGACCGACCAAACGGCATATTGAAAAATAACCTTAAGTTCTTTTTAAAAATAAAACAATTCGATACATAAGTTTAAATTTTTTTATTTAATGTCAGCTATTTATGTGTCATTCTGGTTAGCCTGCCTTAAACAGCTTAATAGGTTGTCTAACTAGCAAAGAAAATGTAAATAAAATTTAAGCACATTTCGTTGATACTACCTATAATCGTTGAGTTCAATCTCGGTGCGCTTCCAGAGGTCTTTTAAGGCGTACCATTCGGCTTTAGATTGAACTGTCCTCCGCAGTTTCCAGAGTGCTGTGGATTTTATTCAAACTAGATTTGAGAAAGCTTCTTAGCTACATGCAGCGGCTTGTTTGCCCCATGATGTTCATGAGCGACAAAAATAATAAAAAAGGTAACGAGCCTTAGCATAAACACCGTTAGTGCAGTGTGCATTAGTTTATAAATGCACATTAATATGTTAATGTAATTTTCTTTACTAGCTTTATTATAATATCGTAAATATTCCAGCTCATCTTAAGAAACAATAGCTACCCTACCTTTCGATTCGGCGTGAAACAAGATGGATTATGATACCAGCCCAACATTAAGATTCCAAGAACTTTTGTTTCGTACAAATAAAATCGGTAAAAACGGTTAAATCGAATTCTGCTATTTTTTATATCAGACTTCAAATTATTTTCTTATTTAGGTTTTCATGTTAGAATCTGTGGCTAGTATTCTTTTTCTTCTTGCCAAATTATGAGGGGTCGGCGCAGAATGTCCTCATATCATGCTGCATAGGGAGTTTTACGACCGGCCGTCAGTCTGACCTCACCCTCCTTTGGGATGCTATCGTTCTGTTCTCTAGTAGCCTGAAATTCCTTAATAGCCTTTTACAATACCTACGGGAAGATATGGGTCGGTCCAGTTATAAGCCAGAAACCGCACGTCCGCAAATCTGTGACTGATCCAAGAGTAGATTTAAATAAATAATGAAACTTCTATTGACTAAAGAGCAGAAGGTTTGTGTATTTTAAAGGACTCTGAGAAATAGATAACTTTATTCCATAGACAATGTCACTTAACCTGTAAGATCTCATTCTGAAAGACCTTGATAACTGTGTCAAATAATAGTTTTGGCAATTTAATCTTGTTAATTTGACTATTATATTCAATGAAACTTCAAATCACTTCGTAGTAGTATTCCCTCATCAGAAGCATTAATTACTTTAACGAAAAATGTACTACGTTGACTCGCAGCGAACGCTCACGCGAAGGGATAGCTCTTTGGTTTTTTCAAAAAAATCCGAACTCGATGAAGAATTTGATGTTAAATCCACTGCACGAGGACCATCAACTATTCGTCTTACGACTGACGACTCCGCCCATGCGTCTGTCGTTATCAGACCTAAGGGTTCAGTACAGAAAGAACTTGTTACGTTGATGTTTGAATCTATGTTAGATAGTATTGTAGAATCATGGCAAATTTTAACACCTCTTAAGCAAGATGAAAACCTTACAAAAGTTGAGAAAACACCAAGTGATCTCACTAGTAAAAAGAAAAAGACAATTGGTATGATTTAACTATCTGTTCTAATTCTAGCCAAGCTTGTTTTAGAATCTGATTTTGATAAGTATAGCAAAGTTCGCACAAAATTCATAATTATGAATTTAAAATGTTTCTGAACATCTAGTTAAAGAGATTTGTGGTGTCGTGGGACACCGGATATTATTATAAAAATATTAATTTTAAGTTCCATTTGAGGTATAAAGAAAATAAAATTGGAGGTTTCGCAACAACCCACGGTTATTCGGTAACGTGCGGACTTATTGTGGTACACTTCATTCACGGTCGTTTGCATAAGAGTTAGTGTATTGCCCAAACGAACGCGCTGAGATCGTGGTCTATGAATGAATATGTTATTTTTTGTATGTTATTACAAAGTTAAGTCGTACACTGTGTGCATTACTAATACAAATCTTACGTTTCGGACGTTTTTTCCCGGTTAGGGTACCCCTCCGCATCATCCCATAAAGAACATCGTTCCAATAAAAAACATTTAAATTTATCATTTTATTATTTGTCATTCGGGCCTGGATGAGCTTGTCTCGTATGTAATGTAGGTATGTATGGATGTATTTTTTCGGCACATGTAACACAGGAGACATTTCGGGGTTGAGGCGGTACCTACGTGTGAAACATTTAACGTTTTTAACATTTGTTTTTATATTAAATTGAAGAAGTATATAATTTATTTTATTTTCATCTTTTATCTTCCATACGATGCAAGAAAAGGTGTTTGGGCATTAGTTTTGTTTGCATTTCTTTTAACTATAAATTAAGCAAATCGAATTAAAACAAACGTTTAATTTTAGCTAAAACTTCGAAAACTAAAAAAAGCCGTTCTAAAATGGAATTTAATGATTTTAGTAATCAGGTTCGTAGTCTTTTAAATAGTCTTACGTGCATATTATTTATCATTAATGTATAATACTTAACTAATGATAAACAAGATCTACAATATCTAAAAATCATTTCAGAATAATCCCTCAAATCAGGTTTGGTGGAATGGTCCCGATGAAAGAGTTGTCATAAAGTTTAAGAATGGAAATGTATATGAGGGAAACATCTCCATGAAGTGTATGCACGGAGAAGGTCGTTTTCAGTGGGCAGATGGAACAATTTACTTGGTTGGAGCAGAAGATTAATAAACATATACTTATCTAAGATCTAGCCAAAAAAATTATGTATACAGGTTCAATAATTGTTTTTGTAGGGCCACTTCAAAGATAACGAAATAAATGGGAAAGGTTTGATAAGATGGAAAGATGACACTTGGTATGAAGGAGATTTTAGTGATAATCTTCGTCACGGCAAAGGCCTTTATGTCGATTCGCGCCGTCAGCGTTGTTTCTTGGGCGATTGGCACTGTGGAACTAAGCATGGAAGAGGCGTTATGAATTATTCGGAAACATTTAAAAACTCATATGACGGACAATGGAATCACGTAATGTGGCGGAGAGTTCAAATATGAATATGCCGTTTTAAATTTACAAATATTAGCTTTTAGAATTCCTATTAATTATATTTTGACACAATCTGCAGTTACAACTGCGCGAAAAATATTCCAGGCTCTCTAACACCAGGCTGTTGTAGGTAGATATAAAACGATTAATGTGATAATATGATTTCACTCTCTCTAGGTTATTATTCCAAAGAATAAAACTCAAAAAAAAAATCACTTTCATATAAAAACATGAAATAATGACGTTTTTTAATTATCATTTAGATGTCATTCTTTCTGATATTTTTTTAACGCCGTGTGGTTTTGGCTGGATCCCTTAAGGTGAGTGGTAGTAGTCTCCCTGTTATATCTCCGGTAACCACTTAACACCAAAAGGGACAATAAAAGGTTCGATGCATTCAATAACGGCTACCCTAGACATCAGACTCGAATGCTTAATTACTTGGAGGTATAAACAGACAGGATTCTGGTACAAAACCCTTAACTTATTATTTATACGGATTGTTCGAAAACAGACAGCATACAATTTTAGACTTATATAAAGTTATGGTATATTGTGTATAGTATATGTCTTGTGCTCTAGATATATTAGTAAGTAGTTGCAACGGTGGCTCGAAAACCTCCTTAAGCATCAATATTTTAAAACTAACTGCTTTCTAATACAATTTTAACGAAGAAGTCAAGCTGCACTCTGAATTCGGCAGAAATTTCAATTGCATTAAGGTTAAAATCACTCTGTCATGTCAAAGTTTAACAAATACAGAAAAGTGTAAGTTAAGCTAAGTAAATAAGGTTTTTCAATATTTTTATTTAAATCTTTATTAATATTTATGTCTCTTTTATTAATAAATGTAGAACGTGCGTCATGGATTTGGATCTCGAGAGTACTCTACGACAAGCGGTTATAAAGGAGAATGGGACAGATATCTTCGAGAAGGAAAAGGACTAGTGATCTGGCCAAATCACGATGTAAATTAATAATATTAAGTAAATTTAATACATTATCGCAAACATTAACTTTGTATTTAGGTTCCTAATTCTAAATTGTTTAAATTAGTTTTATAGTGGTGAATGGAAAAATGGAACCATGTCTGGCTATGGTATTTACATTTGGGATGCCTATAATAATAATTCTTTATCTTTACCATCCATAAATATATACCGAGGCTTCTGGGTTAAGGGGCAGCGTAATGGCTACGGTATTTTGAATTTGGGGCTTGGCGCTAGTTCACACTACAGAGGAGAATTTCAAAATAACAAGAAGAACGGAGCAGGAAAGTTTGTGACCAACAATGGCCTTGTCCTGCAGCATAAAAAACTTTTCCTTAACGATAATTTAAGTGATATGGCGCCCGAGGAAAATTGTTGTGAATTGTTGCAACAAGAAAAACATTGTCAGGAAGTCGAACCTTTTTTATTCGATATATGTGCTGATCACACTATCGGACTTGCATACCATGTAGAAGAAGCTATAAAAAATATTGATAAAGGAATGGAAGACAGAAGTAAAATAATTAATGATTACTTGGAGAGTAACATGTCACAATATCGTAATGAGCTAAGGAGAAATACAATGCCTTACGACAATACTTACCCATTCAGTATAGAAGACTTCATAGATTTTGAAGTAGATTCTCTACAAAAGTCACTTCGGTGTTATGAAACTGAATTAAAAGTAATTTATTATAAGTATGCTACAATTTTCAATAAAGAAGAGATTAATTTCACACCGGTTTTAATACGATTTGGCTTGTGGCAATTATTTTTCGATTGCAATGTGCACGAGAAGGGCCTAACACTTGTTGAAATCGATAAAATTTTCCACAAAAATCCTCAATGGTTAGCGAGAACACCACATAATCCTTTTGAAGAAATATATTTTTGGCAATTTCTACACAGTATAATATCTGTGGCCAGTAAATTGTATGCATTGAAAGAGCTTCCTAAAACAAAACCAGATACGCTTCTGTCGACTGCGTTAAGACAGTTTATAGAAAAGGATGTTTGGCCAAATGTTGGTAGATGCAAAGGTCTGTCAGAATAATCATCAAATATCAATCTTCTTAATATCATCACATTATTTTTAAACCATTAATTTATTTACAGGAAGGCTCTCAAATGCATATATCAATTACATTCCTCTAAAAGGATCTTACGAATTATACAAAGCAATTGGCGAACCACATACTGTCAGGAATTTTTTATGTGCAATTCGACGAAGCATGCACATTTTAGACGACAGTGAAATAAAGATTATTGAAACATCAAACGAGACTATACCAATTGGTCGAAACGTTTTTCTTTTCAGCGATGAAATTACATTTGTCACTGGTAAACCTTATAAATTAATTAACCAGTAAATACCTAAAAAATACGAATGATAAAGTAATTTTTTTTTTGTAGTTTAATAAAAATTGTTTATTTCTACAAAACATCTAATATATTTGGTTTACTTCTCAAATCTCACAGTTTTAACGTAGCTTAGGTTTTAGTTTAATACTAAACTTGTCAGCAGTGTGTGTTGTGTTGGTGTGTGTGTAACGTGAACATATTTTTTTCAGATTATCATAATTTTGAAACAAATGAAGAAAAAGTCCTCTTGTGGGAAAGCAATGAGTTCAAATTGCTTAATTTTGCTCAATTATCAAGTAAATCGATTTTAAACATTTTTTCTAAAATTTTCCCCAATCTCTATGATAAAAACACGAATAAAATAATAAATTTAGACATTCATATGACCTTTTTTGAATTCTTCGAAGTTATTATATCTTGCGCCGAGGAAAGTGTTGCGCAAAATGTGATGGACGCAGAATTTTACACTGCCAATTAATTTAGGTTGTAGTGAGTTAACTATTTTAAAAACAATCGAATAAAATTGTTCTACATTGAGTCGTTGTTATTTCTAAGTGCAATAGGACTTTGTGTGACTTGTCGTACCTGTATTTGTGTATACCTAGTAAATACTACTCTTTAGCACTATGAGAAATGGACTGACTGTGCAAAAGCCATTCCTTTTTGCCTTGGTAGGTTGACGAGTATACCGTCTACCTGAGGGTAAGCACATCCACATAGTATGGATGAATACCGCTCATGTCACGTGCTGTAAAATAGAGAAAAGAAGATGAAGGAATCATCTCGAACAATTACTTAGAGCATTCCTCACGGATATACTGTATAAAACACAGACTGAACCGAAGTCCTCCTTGGACCCAGAGGATTCAAGCAATCCTTTAAAATGACACCATTTTGATTTTCCTTTTATTGGACTTGATGGCCCAGGATCCATTCGGTCTTAAATGGTAACCGGACATATAGATTAAGTAAATGCCACCATACACCTTGACACCTAAAAACTGATCTATATTTGAAACCGGAACGTCGACGTTATAGATGCTGCCTGTCCCAAAGTAGAAAAGTATAATGATAAAAAACTACTTCCATTCGTAGTAGAAGTTTCCTCACTTCAGTCATATTCTTTTTTTTTATTGCTTAGATGGGTGGATGAGCTCACAGCCCACCTGGTGTTAAGTGGTTACTGGAGCCCATAGAAATTTATAACGTAAATGCGCCACCCACCTTGATATATAAGTATAGTTACAACGGCTGCCCTACCCTTCAGACCGAAACGCATTATTGCTTCACGGCAGAAACGGCCAGGGTGGTGGTACCTACCCGCGCGGACTCACAAGCGGTCCTACCAACAGTAAGATCTTAAGATTGAGGCTGCAACGAACCAGAATCCTAAGTAGTTCTGTAGTATGTGTTCTAATCTATAACACTGCTACATATACTGCTGAAATTTGAACACCACGGTTCAAAGTATTTGTTCGTTATATTTATAGTCTTTTCTGCGTTACATTAGCTTAGGTAACCATCTAAGTGATAAGTCTAACATAATGTTACGATCCAAGTCTTTTTCATTGTCTACAAACGCTATATTAAAAATAGAACATGATACTTTATTTCTTCTTCATCTCAAACGTTTCTTAAGCATGTAGTAGAGGGGACAGACTTGACGCGTTTTACGATGCCCCTCCCACTGTATGGACAAATTATTTACACCTACATAAATCGGTATGTATTTGACAACAACCCTTTTTAAACCCATAAAGACAACTTTATAAAAAAATAAAAATTTTGACATCACCGTCAAAAACTTTGGCAGCGATTTGTAAAAAATGATTTTGAATTAGATTCAAATTTGGTAACCGACATAGATAATACATAAATGTAACCGATTTATTTAGGATTTAGCACTGAAGATACTATTATAGGTCTATGGGATTTAGGCGGTAATGCGCATAGGGAGTTCATAATCATAAGGGTTACATTATCCACTAATACATAGCAGCGAACGGACAGAAGTCACGATCTCTAAATCGTACCGTCTGTAGACACCCTAAGGATAAATATTAAATATGTATATTATCTATGCTTAGGAAATCGAAAGGAAAGTTTGAGAGCTCCGAATTTTAAAATTCAATTTCTACTACGAAAATAAATACAATTGTTAGCACACGAATTCACTTTTGACAAAATGAGAACTAAAAATCCAATGGCAAAAAAGCCTCAGCAAATATTGTTTTCAAAAAATATATACAGCTCTTCAGTGAAAGTCGCAAATTGGGACTATGCGACCCACGCAGAAAAAAAGGATAATTACGTTTATAGAGATAAATTGAGTAACCACTTGAGTACATATGTACGTTGGGGAGATGATGATCAAGGAGTTAAGACCACAGAAACTCGTTATATGCTGGCACAAATTAGCACTAAAACTGATCCGTTATATTTCTTTAGACCTCTGGTTAACTTTACTTCCTATCCATGCACAGAGTGAGTACCTACATTACCGTTTCATAATAAAAGAATTACATTAAAAAAATTACAATACCTTAACGTATTTACAGTACACCCGGTCGAAATAAATTGATGAAGTGTGCCAATTTGCCACAACTGCCGACGGATTTCGGAGTTATGGACTATGTCAGCACACAAAAGAACGACTATAGGAATCCATTCCCATCCGTAATAAAGCCGGTAAGCATTAAATTCAACGAATAAATTAGGAGTGAAAGCGACAACCAGCACTCTAGCGTGCTGCTTAGGAGTGACATCATAAGAACGACCGGTCGGTGGAGTATCGAGTCTCAACCCGACAGGCTGGTTCCGACCAAGTGGGGTATCCCAGGACATCAACAGCTCCGCGTCCTACTGAGACGGCCGACGTTCTAGAGCTTTCGTTTCGCCTCGAAGATTCCGTCAACCGGGCGTCATAGGTGTGAGCCGTACGTTTGGTTGCAGTGTTGACCACGGCAAACCCCCTTACACCGCCCATGTTCTGATTTCGAGGGAATGGAACGCTTGCGCGAGAATGCAGTCGTTTAATGGGTAGGGACCTAAATACCGAACATTTGCGAACCGTTCAGTCGCATATATTTCGTGGGGACCTCGTAGGAGGTTCAGCCCCCAGCCTGAAAAAAAAAAGATACTTGCCCCATCACCTATGACTACAGGGATTATATTAGAGATCAGGTCGATCATTCGTTACTTATTACCAAACCGATCGATTTTTTTTCGTGATCGCACTATCTAATGGCAAACTGAATAAAGGGTTTGTTTTCCATGCGACTACCAACCCAATATCTGGCCTGCAAACGGTGGAGGGGATTCGCCAGGTCTGTTGGGACTGGCTAAATCGTAACTGCCGACACCGTTTTGTGTATATGCTGATCAAGCACGAAAGCTTCGGAAAGTATCTGCACTGCAGTGTTCGGATCATCGATTGTCCAGGTCTCGCGGATCGCTTGGAACCTCGGGATCTACGGAGGGACTTCGGTTCTCTCTGTGTTTTGTACCGTATGTTCCATGGGGAATGCTCTGAGGAATTATTCGAGATGATCCCCTCATCTCTTTTTTCCATCACACCTCCCGCCATCGGAGCAGAGCTCATCCATATTATCTGGAACCGCTGCGTTCATCGACAGTGCGTTTCCAAAAATCTTCTTTGCCAGGTACCATCCGGCTTTGGAATGAACTCCCCTCTACCTGTTTCCCGAGCGCTATGATATGTTCTTCTTCAAATGAGACTTGCGGAGAGTACTTAATGGTAGGCAGCGGCTTGGTTCTGTCCCTGGCATTGCTGACGTCCATGAGCGACGGTAACCACATACCATCAGGTAGGCCGTATGGTCGTCTGCCTACAAAAGCAATAAAAAAAAGTCACGTCATCAGTGACAGTGAGGGTAAACTGCCAACTTGGTGGATGGGACTAGGGCACAGTAGTGTACACGTATACGGTTCGCTGCGTATGGTAAGGGCAGCGTTATATCATCATAAAAATGGGTACAAGCGACTTATCCTTGCCAAGCTTCGTATCTACTAGAGATGAGTTGCGACTCACGATGTTCACCGTCTGCGCTAGGACTCAAGAAAGAGCTTTCTCTCATCGCTTCAACCCGTTGCTGTCTAGATGACAAAAAAGGGATTTATGATAGACTTCCCCCCCCCCCCCATACGTAGGCATGGAGATTGGCGTGGAAGAATATGTAATTACAGTTTTAAAACAGACCAACCAAGTGTGGTGCTCCCCAAGCCACGCTGGTTCTGACCCAGCCGTGTATTCCGAGGCATGAGGTGACAGCACAGACTTAGCGGGCTTTGCAGGCTGCCGGACTCCTCTGCCAGATTCAATGGACGCGGCCAACTTTTACGAAACCGAAATCTTTGTTTAAAGTGTAGCCGAGCCGTTATCTACTTACTTTGTTGTATTGATTTTGTGTTAAATAAATGCAATGGTGGCTGTGTAGAACACGTAGAGACTAGGCATTTATACAATGCTTCACATGGCCTTACGGATCCATCAGATCCAATAACTCTTGCATTAGATACCTTCAGCTCTAACACTAGGAGCAGGCTGAGGAACCCCGGTAACCGTACTCGTCGAACTCGACAAAGAGATCGATGTGTCACCTAACCCATGCATCAGCTCGCTGAGTTTCTCACCGGATCTTCTCAGCGGGTCGCGATTCTGATCCGGTAGTAGATTCATTCGCGAAGCAGTTGCTCTTAAGTTGTTAGGTCTCCTTCGTTGGCGCTCGGGCAGCTGTTAGCAAATCCCACCCCTCCTGGCTGAGCCTTTGCTCGCCCACCTGTCCTGGTGAAACTAGAAAGGCCTCCGGGCCACCAGTACGGTGATACTTCAATCATAAAAAAAAACATTAATTTATTAACTCATGAGAAAGAAAATAAGACGGTTTCCGAGTGGCAGTAGCTACATAATAATTATTTTTTTATTACAGTTGACCATGGGTTCGCCAAAATGGCTCCTCAATCGTGTTATTCGATCCCATTTAACACAAAATGGGGGAACGGCTCCACCACCCGGGGACTATCAGTGTCTCGACACTCACACTCCCATAGATCATATACGGAAAATGAAACTATTCAGATACCAATCTTTCAACCCTGCTACGTGCGTTCAGGACTTTCCAACTATTCAAAACTGAAAGTAATGGTTACGAATGACAAAATTATTTTATTAAAAATCAAAACATGCAGATCATTACAGAATAACGCAACAAATAAACAAAAATTAACAAAACCACTATTAAAAATTAAATAAATTTAGTTTTTCAATACCATACAACAACTTAAGGGGTATACATTTGTATTAGGTATCAATGTAGTTAAATGCTTCTGCTTAACATCCAAAAAAGGATAACATGATAAAGATTTAATTGTATTTTTCATAAAAATTTACCTTTTTGAGAGACTTTTAAATAGATATATCCTTTTTCGTTTGCTTAGCATTTGCTAATGCAATCTAATGTATCAACTATGTGCAGCAGCATTTGTATTTTTTTGTCTATGGGCTTCAGGACTGCTTAACATCAGGTTGTGAACCTGTCTGCCTATTTACTGCTATATAAAAAGAATAATAATCTAAATAGTGAAAGTAACTACAACACAATAAATACATTAATTAAAATTACAATCTCAACCCATTTAGATTTTGGTACTACCCTGTTTTCTATACAGATACATATTACTTTCTTAATTTACTTATGTATAACTATTATTTATTATTGATGGCCGGAGATCATAAACGAAAATATGAAATATTGTTATCATTGTTTTTTCACAAAATTTAAATAAGGTAAAATTAATATAACAACTAAAATTATATAAGAAAATATATAACATATTGTTAACTAAATATACCATTATTAGTCTTTTAGATTTTTTATAAATTTATTTGTCATTAGTCTAATTACTACTAACTGAAAGAACTACTGAAGAAAGTTACAATAATTGAATTGAAATTAATCAAAAAGATTTAAAGTTTTTCCAAATTTTTGTACACTATCTGTTTTAAGTTTGATCAATTTTTCTGTTTATAAAACACAATTGAAAATTTATATTGACTTAACAATAGTACAACTTGAAGACATATATAAACAATGTCAGTACATTGTTTTTACAAATACCAAAACTTAAATGGAATAAATTAGCATGGTGTCATTGTCATTTCATTTTTTTACATATTCATTACATGCGTGTAGTCATATTTGTTTACCTTGTACTTTTAAATGGGCATTTTATTTTCATTGACAATATCTTATTTTCTGAACACAACTTATTTACTTTGCAGTCTGGACTCCTGTCAGTCACTATTTAGGGTATGAATTCAATGTATACGCCTTCTCTTGAATCCTTTTCCTTTTTTAGATTTCATTTTGTGTTTTCGAGCTACTCTTTGACTACTTGTGCCCGTTATCTCATCAGCCAACATCCCTACTGTGGTTACTTTTTTTCTCCTATTTTTTTCAGCTTTTGTTACAGGTAATCTTGTGAGATAATTTTCTTCATATTCAGTTTTTTCCTGTTCATATTTGGATATGGATTGTTTAATATGATTCCCGGAGCTGACTTCTAATGGTGCTTCTGAATATTCTTCTCGAAGTTCCCTCATAACACTGGAATTGAGAAATTGTTTCTTCGATTTCTCTTTCATTTTTTTATCTGCTTCAGTTCTTGAGACTTCATCAAAATGTACTGCAGCTAATTTTGGAGGCACATAAATATTAGATTTTACTTTTTCTTTTTTGCCTTCTACATCAGAGGTTTCACTTGACTCTTCTTCTGAATTATCAATCTTACTTACTAAGTTATTAGGATTAGCACGGTAGGTTTGTGGGTCATCTTCTGATACAGCTCCAACAACTGCACTTTTGACAAGCTTATCAATTTGGTACTTTAATTTAGAATCAATTGGACGAATCTTTTCAAGTACTGTTCTTATTTCAATGAGCCTATCAATGGAAGGATCAGATTCAATTCTTTCACCAGAGCACTTCCTTAATACTATATAGGTCAAATTTATCAAGTAACTAAGAAGCATTTGGTATTTCATTTCCAAAAAGCTAAGGCCTTTGTCTGTTGAAAGTTCTCCATTCTTCACACGGACAAGCATGTTATCGACTAACTGAGATACTTGTTGTACATTTACATTCATTTCTTTTAATAATTTCATTGCTTGAGGGATGTTCGGTTGTTCTGTTTCTTCGCAGGCCTATAATAAAAATTACATTTATTTAAATTTTAAATGTGCTATTTTAGCAACATATACATAATATATATTATTATGACGCAAACTGTACTCATGAAGATGACAGTTGGCTTGTATAGCGAGGTACGTTTGGAACAAGTTCAATCCAAACGTAGATGTAGATTTAGTAATTTATCTACTCTACTCAGTTTTTAAGCTTATTTTATTATTTTACTCCCTGTTAAGTGTCTTTGGAGCTTAGTATGCTCGAATGATGAGCGAGTGATTCTGAATAAATTAAAAGAATGTGTGATTATGCCAAGCATGAAAAATATTATTAAAATAAAAAATCAAACCTGGACCATGTTGATCAAGATTGTGCTCCTATAGTTAATAATGCTTATGGGATAAAACTTTTGAAATGAACAGGTGAAATTTCGGTAAAGTTCTAACTGCTAAACTCGGATGTATGTTATTTTTGGATTCATATCTTTCATGTCACTTCGAAATGAAAGTATTGGAACAGTTATTACAAATTATAATTTAAGTTATGTATTTATAAAGAAGTTTAAAACTGAAGGTAGCATTTAACAACTTGAATTCACTTCACACTTCAGATCATTAGCTGACTTTTCCGTAGATAATTGATGTACTTTGTTAGGTTATGTAGGTTCAGTAGGTTGAGTAGTAGTAGTTTTATTTATCCAAATGGAAAGGCAAAGGTAACACACCATACAGCCTAATCTTTTATATATATATATATATATTATCAAATATGATATTATGAAATGAAATGAAGCTGATTAATATGAAACGTATCATGGCATGAAATGAAATGAAGAATTTGAGACATAAATCAACTGGGATGAAATTAAATGAAATGAGATGAGATGACATGGGATGAAATATAATCTCAGTAAAATGGTGGTCATTTACTGATATTTATTCTGTGACTTTTGGAGGATCCCGAGAAGTTACGTCCAGCGGCTTTGTTTGATTTTCCCACATTTGTGCACTTTCACAGATATTAAACAGTTAATGAACCACTTCTGAACTTCACTCCTCGCGTTCCCGCCATTAAGTCTCCATATTATCATTTTTCTTATAACAGAATATAAACGAGTTGGCTGTATGGTATGATGCCTTTGCATTGCCAGTTGGAAAATTAGAATTACGGTACCTATTCCAGAGCCAAATGTCATTGTTGTGCATGGATGTCATGTCAAACTAAAATTAAACCGTGAATATTTTCAGAAAATTTAAAAATGTTAAAATTTTCTTACTTCATGTAGTTCAATGTAGTTGTTTAAAAACCCGATCATGTTTCAAGTTAGTGTAATTAATATAATAAAAAATATTATAACTCAATACTACGGCTTAAATGATATAAAAACCCAAACTGTTTTAGGTTTATCTTCAGTGGATTCTATTCATTACCATAATTTTAAAAAGTTATGGCTTCTATGTACCTGGTGTGGCACCGGTCGAGTTCAAAAAAGGTCAAAAAATTGAAGTAAAAGCTGTTAAGATGACCAGCATTCATACTCAATTACCATACGAATATTATTCATTGCCTTTGTGTCTCCCAAAAAATGGCACATTTGTGTACAAATCTGAAAACTTAGGAGAAGTTTTGCGCGGAGATCGTATAGTCAATACACCATATGAAGTTCATATGGCAGAGAACATTAAATGCAAACTTCTTTGCCATAGGAAAAACGTTCCTATCAATTGGAGTGTAGAAGATTCTGAAAAAGTTGCTAGTCGTATTGAACATGAATATTTTGTTCACTTGTAAGTGCTTGTCAAAAAAATTATTGGCTTGAATGAATGAAACATGAATAATTATTGAAAGTAAATTATTTTTCTCACTTTTAGATTAGTTGATAATTTACCTGTTGCAACAAAAGTTATAAATGTTGAAACTCTAGAAAGGACTATTGAGCAAGGATATCGTCTTGGATATATGTCTGAAGGAAAGGCCTACATTAATAACCACCTTAAACTGTTACTGAAGTACCATAAGCATAGCCAGTGAGTATACTTAATTTTTAAATGCCTGTTAGATTTCCCTGTTATTGGAAACTTGTCTTGTAGAATCAATAGACAGAATGGTAGTACAAATGGTGTCTATATTCACAACAAACTTTATTGCCAGTGCTCATGGGTGTGATAATGGGGAGAAAAGGAGCTTAATTAGGCAGAAAAAATAACGAGGATACTAGAAATTGATGACAGAAAAAGAGTAGAGCAGCTCCATTCTCTCTTGGGATGAGTAACTTTCACTAGACTTGCCCATTATAAGTAGTAAAATTGTTATGTCTATGACAACTGTAACTGCGGGACTGTAGATTATGAGTCGTCAGTCCTACCTTGCTGTGGCTATCATTAATTGCAAAAGAAATATGTATTATCCAAAAATATTACTGAGAGAAGGGCTGCATTGGCTGCTTGCTGACAACTCCTATGTGGATAATGTCATTTATGATTTAATATATCAATTCATTCACATATTTCAAACAAAAAAAACTTAAATGAGTATGAAATAAACTGCTTCCTTTTTATCAATCCAAAAATCTTAATTTATACATACAATATATAAATTATATACACAATATCTCCACATTTACATTTCTAAAATACTCTATATGTAAATAAATACTGTTTAATTACAGGGATTCTTATAGAGTAGTGGGATTTGAAGTTGAAACCCATTCAGTTTCTAAAGATGAATTAATATTTACTGATGATACTTGTCAAATACCAGTCAAACCAAAGCCACAGTTAGTTAATGAAGATACTGGTACAAAGTTGTACTTCACATACTCTGTGGAATGGGGAGAATCAGATATTAGCTGGGCGTCAAGATGGGACATTTATTTGGGCATGAAGGATGTACAGATACATTGGTTCTCTATTATTAATTCTGTTGTTGTATTATTTTTCTTGTCAGGTAAGCAGGCTCCATAATCATAGTAATAAACATTCACATTTGTTCTGCACAATATGAGGTTTTATGGAAAAATACTGACCCACCTCAAGCATGTTGATAGTGCAATTGAGGTGAAATCAACCAACCATGCTCTTCATACACCAGCCTGTAGAGCTGTGAGTCTGGGTCTCGAACACCTACTAATCAACCCAACTAGTTGATTTACCCATTGAACTATCAATTTGTGGATCCATTTCGATCAGCCCTACTGATCAGAAGCTAAAACCCAATTGTACCATCTTTAAACACTTTAGTATTACTATTATGTATGTCCCCATAATAGGAGTATTGTTTGTAAATTATTTCTTATTTTTACAAGCATCACATCACAATGTCTGATGACTGACTGAAGTTTCAAAACCCTAAAATCTAAAGTAATAGTATATAATACAAACATTGTACAACACCACACTACAACAATAAAGTGAGCTACTGTTTTATAATTCAACATTTTCCCAGCCATATTAACAATGATAATGGTACGAACATTGAGACGAGACATAGCTCGCTATAATTCAGTTGAAGGAATTGATGACATGATGGAAGAAACAGGATGGAAATTAGTACATGGAGATGTCTTCCGACCTCCTCCTAAGAGGATGTTGTTTGCAGCTGTGGTGGGAAGTGGGATACAAGTCTTTCTGATGGCATTGATAACAATATGTAAGGTTTAAAATATCATAAATTCTTTCCATTATAATTTTTTATCACACAGAAAAAAACATTTTAAGTTTTTTATTGATAATTAAAAGTGTGATTGTGGATTGAAGATAATATTATGTAGAAAACGATTACGGAACATGCACACATTTCAACTTTATTTGAAAACCATTGGCTATGTGATATCATCTACTAGAGTAGCACCATACCATCTCTTCCTGTGTTTGTTCGTTAAATTTTACTTAGGTATTTCCCAAAGAATGGATAACAAATTTTGCCAAATATTATTCAAGCATATTGCAATCGCCATCGCCATCGCTATGACCATGTCGTTTAGAAAACTGTGGCACCCATTCTAAGTAGAGTTGAGACTTCAAATTATGTCTCAAGGCTGATGGCGATATTCCAGTTGTGATGTCTCTATGCTATTTTTTAGTAAAAATATTCCGATGTCGTATAAAATCTATTTTGTAATTAAAGTGAAACTACTGATATTTCTCTCGCTATAGTAATGAGTTCCGAATAATTAATTATACATACATTTCAAAACCATTTAAACAACGTTTATTCTTCGTATAGTTGAATTAACATCTATTTTTCTATTGTGAAGAACATTAAATTAAAAAAAGTATAACGCATCGTAGTTTTTTTTTTCTTTCAAATAACTACATAATAATATATCGATATGGTTAGTCTATTTATAAATTTAAGTATTTTGTAATAAGGCTGTTTTAATACCTATTTCAGTTATCGCGATGCTTGGTATGCTGTCGCCGGCAAGTCGAGGGGCCTTAATGACCGCCGCGATTTTCCTATACGTATTTATGGGGTTGATCGCGGGTTATTTCTCGGCGCGCCTCTATAATACAATGAAAGGCAAACAATGGAAACAAGCCGCGTTCCTGACGGCAACGCTGTACCCCGCCATTGTCTTTGGCACATGTTTCTTTTTAAACTTCTTTATAATGGGCAAACATTCCAGCGGTGCTGTACCGTTTTCGACTATGATGGCCCTATTGTGTTTATGGTTTTGTATTTCATTACCGTTGGTTTATTTGGGTTATTATTTCGGATGCCGAAAACAGCCTTTCCAACACCCTGTAAGGACAAATTTCATTCCCAGGAAAATACCTGAACAAGTTTGGTATATGAATGTATTGATATGGTAAGTTCTTCACTTTTACAGCTCAATATTTTACAGGATAATTAATTAATATTTCACTACCGAAAATTATAGTCATTTTATTGTCGCAAAACAATTATTAATAATACCATTGCGACTCTCGGTGTACAATCTCCTTTACAATCATCAAAAAAAAGCTGTTAGATCGCTTTATCTTTACTTATCAGTTCCAAACTAGATTGAAAGATCAACTTGGAAAACGAGTCACATTGCTTTCTTTTTCTTGCCTCTATTGTTTGATCAGTTGACTCATACAGCCGGTCATTAAGTCCGCTATTACAACTATGAGGAATTTTTTAAATAAATAAGTGTAGACCCACTTATAATATTGACGATGATGATGTTTATTTCTAAATGTTCGAAATTTATCAAAAAATATTATTTATATAAAAATATGATTTTGAAGTATAAATGTTTTTCAGCGTTTTGATGGCAGGAATACTGCCCTTCGGAGCCGTATACATCGAGTTGTTCTTCATCTACAACGCACTTTGGGAGAACCAATTCTATTATCTTTTTGGATTTTTATTTTTAGTATTTTGCATTTTGGTTGTGTCCGTATCTCAGATATCGATATGTATGGTTTACTTCCAACTCTGCGGTGAGGTGAGTTCAACTGAATTGATATTTTAAGAACAGAAATTGGCGATAACAACTCATCTACCATATTAGTCTGATACCATTTAAGTCCTGTAGTCATTTATCTAAGTGTGCTGCGTTGAAACTCGCCTCATGTCTGAAGTACACTGTTATGTTTGCTTGAGCGCCATTTTGATACTGGGCACTACAATTTCATGCACGTAAAAACAGCCACGCTTCGGTTTCATTAGATGAATGAAGCAAATATTCGGGGAGTCAGCTGCTTGGTGAACACAGCACACAATGTTGTGATTGTATTCTTGTGTGGAATCTCAACTCTGGGAGTTTTTTTTAATTCTATGAGATATGGTCTAATAAGAAATGGAATTCACTAGTGGTAGGACCTCTTGGGAGTCCGCACGGGTAGGTACCACCACCCTGCCTATTTCCGCCGTGAAGCAGTAATGCGTTTCGGTTCGAAGGGTGGGGCAGCCGTTGTAACTATACTGAGATCATAGAACTTATATCTCGAGGTGGGTGGCGCATTTACGTTGTAGAAGTCTATGGGCTCCAGTAACCACTTAACACCAGGTGGGCTGTGAGATCGTCCATCCACCTAAGCAATAAAAAATAAATAAATAAAAAGCTACCCACTGCCACAGTGTATTGGTTTAATCATTGTTTGAAGGGAGATATAGCATTGCGCTCGAGTATCACCGACGATAACTTAGTGGTCTGTGAAAAAAGATGTCTCCAAAAATGCGCCATGAATGAATGCAGTGGTTCGACGAGCTAGCTTCCATCTTATCCTTTATTGAAAAACCGGAAACCATGTTACTTCAGGGCAAAAACAAACAGGACGTGTCATCTAAATATTCGCCCACCTCAAATACTACAAGATCATACAGTAACAATTATTTAACGTTAATTGAAACACTTTTTTTAGGACTACCACTGGTGGTGGAAAAGCTTCTTTGTATCAGGTGGATCTGCAGTGTATATATTGATTTATTCAATATTCTATTTCTTCAAGAAATTAGAGATAACAGAATTTATACCGACGTTACTATACATAGGTTATACTGGTAAGACCTTAGAACACAGTGGTAGTTTTCCAATTACAGCACTAGAGCGCATTATGCGGCATAATGCTCAACATTAAATGTTCCAACTACAGCAACTTTATTATTATTATTGTTTACCACATTATTTATAATTTATACATTAATGAGGTTGCTAACTCCATGAATATTTTTTTTAACACTGAACTTAGCGCACTCTGCTGATGCATTTGAAAACTAATTCACGTTCCAATGAAGCTTCAGCATAATTCGGCATTGTGTGCCACTGAGTCGCATTATGCTCTGTAATTTTTTTTTTTATTGCCTTTGTATGCAGACGAGCATACGGCCCACCTGATGGTAAGTGGTTACCGTCGCTCATGGACGTCAGCAATGCCATGGGCAGAGCTAAGCCGCTGCCTACCAATTGTAATTGGAAAACTACCATTAACTTATTATTTTGATTAGCCGGAACTCTATCCTATGTGTCTAATTTTGAAGATAAAATTTGCGTTAAGTGAAAAAAACTTCGGCTTTATTTTAAATTGAAAAACATAAATTTCAATATTAGATTATATTTTTTCTAATTGACGGAACATTATTATACTGAATGTCATTAAAAAACTAAAGGCAGATATAAATTGAGTCAGTAACTAATGTCAGTGCTGGCGCCGAAAACTGACCCATACGATTTATACGAAGCCAGTTAGTACTTCGTCAGTAGTCGAGGAAATTTCTTACGGTGTACACACGTTTGTAAAGTCAGTGTGGAAAAATGAATTCTCGAAAACAGCAAAAAAACAGAGTTAATAATTTGTTGAGAAACTGTACCTTTGTGATGATGCAAGAACTAACTGGTATGTTAGAAGAAATATCTAAAAAGAAGCGAATTTGGGTAAGATAATGGATAGGTGACGGCGATCAAACTGGAGGCTCCGCTCTGTTGTTAACACAGTTGAGAATTGAAGGATCCTGGGGAATACAAAGTGGCTTTGAGAATGACGCCAAAAGACTATGATGATTTGCTTATATTGTTATCAAGTTCTATTCAGCGTCAAGACACATTTATGAGAGACGCCTTGCCAGCCAATATTCTGTAATGCTGTTGCGCGCATTTCTTTATTTTTATAATTTTATGATTTACTAGCTGTACCCGTCCGCTTCGCTGACCATTAAAATTAACATTATTTCTCACACCCCACAAAAATTATCATTAACGCCCCGCAACTGGTGTAGGGAGTCCAACACTCATATAAATATTAGCCTATCTATTAAGTACACGTATTTTCTACATGGATACCAAGTTTCAAGTCAATCAGATGCATGGTTCAATAGTTATAACGGAACATCCGGTAAAACCATTGCAGATTTATATATTAGTTTAAGTTATCCCACAAGCATTAATTATTGCGGTATAGTTGAATAATCTTTAAGTTCTCCGTGTCGTTTACTTTTCGCGTCATTTTGTGGTGCAACGCAGCGTGGTCACCGTACAATAAAGCGGCAGCGACTGACTTCGGCATTTACACGGCGTCAGTAGCGCTGGCGTAGGTGGTGGGGGGAGCGGACTGACGCCGAAAAATATGAAGCGGGAATATTGAAGTCAATACTGACGCAACAGTACTGTACTGACTTGAAATCAATTTACACGATGGCAATGCCAGGTCAGCACTGACTCGGTAGTGCACTGACGTTAGTTACTGACTCAATATAAATCTGCCTTAATGGTTCTTAAAAAGCTAGTTTCGAGAAAAACCGGTGGCACAAACTGACTGCTTGTATATTTTTTTTAAATACCTATCTCATGTAACAAAAATTGTTTTTTTTTTGTTTGGTACCTACTTAATATAATACATGGTAACATTTAAAATACATACAAAAAATACATCTTAATCTTTTTTTTTCAGGTCTCATGGTATTGACTTTTTGGCTTCTTACCGGTACCATTGGATTTTTCGCAGCATATACATTTATTAGAAAAATATACGCTGCTGTAAAAATAGATTAAGATAAATATTTAGCTAATTAAGATAAATATTTAGCTAATAATTATTTTGTAAGCATTTTTTTGTGTTTGTTTAGTTTAGCGTCGCGTGAGTGTTGAATGAACAAAGATTATTTTATATTGTATTTTCGAGATATGAGCATGAAATAAATAAAAATGTTGCATTTTAAGATACGTTAGTATTTTGGGAATACAATGTTACGTAAAAAATATAATTTTCGAATGATAACTGTAACAAATTTCTGTGTTTAATTTTAAAGCTGTTTGGCACGATGACGTTCAAATACATAAAGACGAAACAATTCATTTTTAATTAAATATAATACTATCGATACCTTCAATAATAATGAGAAAGAAATCATGCACTTAATTATATAATACAATGCATAATTTATTGGGTGAAAGCTCGTCATGTAATGAAGGACATGATGAAATATTAACTGAATAAAAAGGTGATGCGATGCTGGTTGATAAGTAATTTATTTTAAGGACATAATGATCATCATTAGCAGCCTGTCCATGTGACATGTCCATAATTAGACATGGGCCTTTCCCGAGGCACGCCAAGCTACTCAATCCTGGGCCTCTCGTTCTCATCCACCGCTTGCTATTCTACGTATATCGTCGCTCCACCTGTGTTACTGTGCGTCCTACAATATGTTTACCGGTCCACGGTCTCCACTCCAGAACTCTTCATAATATTAAGAGCTAAAGTTACAAAAAATCCGTAAAGTCTACATTCCTACCAGTTATTGAATGATCATGTCTGTTTCACTGTATTCATATATCTAAAATGGCTTTATGGGATATGTTCCTTTTGTCTGCTGATCGCACACAGCAAACGAAAAAGCTATTTAACCTCGATTTTACAGACAGCTGACAAATGTCAAAATGTTGCGGTACTGTCAGCGAATATAGGATCCTAAAAAATTGAAAATATTTGTACATTATTTTCACCGATAGACTGCAAAAATAAATAAATATACGTATAAAATGGAAACCAAAGTTGCAGTAGTAACTGGAAGCAATAAAGGAATAGGCTTTGAAATCGTTAAAGGATTGTGTCAGAAGTTTAATGGTGTAGTGTACCTCACAGCTCGAAATGAAGAAAGAGGGCGGCAAGCTATTAGGAAGCTACGAGAGTTCGAGTTAAATCCTTTATTTCATCTGCTGGATGTAACAGATGAAGAAAGTATAAAAGAGTTCGCTTCCCATATTTCAAAACACCATTCGGGTATTGATGTATTCGTAAACAATGCCGGCATTCTGGACTTTGATAAGTCTGTACCTTCCTATGAAGACGCTAAGAAATTAATCGACACGAATTTCATGAGCTTATTAACCATATCAAAAATATTATACCCTCTACTGAAAAACGATGCACGAATTATAAATCTAAGTAGTGATTGGGGTTTGTTATCGAATATCAGGAAACAAGTGTGGTTAGATACGCTCGTAAAGGATGATCTTACAGTGGAAGAAATATTGCAATTTGTTAACGATTTCTTAACTGCTGTGAAAGGTGGTAAAAATACATTTGTATCGTTTGCGGGTCAGCATGGCGATTACAAAGTTTCAAAAGTGGCATTGTCTGCGTTAACCTTTGTGCAACAGAGACAATTTACTGAACAAGGGAAAGATATTTCAGTTAATTGTGTTCACCCTGGGTTCATTAAAACTGATATGACAAAAGGAATGGGTGATTTTGAACCTGAAAGAGGTGCACGAGCTCCACTTTATTTGGCCCTAGAAGCACCTCAGTCACAGAAAGGCACATTTGTGTGGCATGATTGTCATCAAGTAAATTGGGACGATTGAACAATCCAATCATAAGATTGTTAGTCTTGCAAACATGATAATCCTGTGATAAGTGTCACACACACTTTAAAAATTTGAATATATAATTTCCTTTCGTTAAAAGCATTTTCATTTATCAACCTGAAATGTTCAATTAGATTTTTTCTGTTGTTATAAATTATACAGACGTGAATTTACAAGAACAGGAGGAGGGGAAGTGGTCCATCTATGAAATTATTTAATGTTTCAAAGATGAAATTATTCAAATTTTTGGTTTGTTGAGTATGCTAAGTGATTAATGCTTTTTTATTGTTTATGACAATTGAGCATGCAAAGTTATGGGCGGACAATAATTTCAGAGGCAATGGTATGTTGGTGCTTGCAATGCCTATCACAGCTATAAATTAAAATTAGTAAATATAAATTAAAATTAGCAGCAAAAGTTTAGGGTAGCACCCAGCATTATTAACAAAAATGCAAAAGTTGTGCCAGGAATCAAATGTAGCATCAGCGAAAAAAAAAAAAATTACATAAAGTAAAATTTGTGTCTTTATTTATACATGCTAAATATTAAAGTTGCTAAAATGCTATAAAATATATAGATAAAAATGCTATTAAAGTCAAATTGTGTCTTTATTTATACATGCTAAATATTAAAGTTGCTAAAATGCTATAAAATATATAGATAAAAATGCTATTAAAGTCGCTAAAATTTTATTTCGAAAGCTTGGCCTAATATTTGTTGTAATAGTTCGACCAGAATGTCTCGATTGAAACCATGTATACAATCATTTACACTTTAATATAACCTCTGTTGATAAGACTGACCTTTATGCGTGTAAAGCTTGTCATTAAAAGATATTAATTTATTACTAATATGTTTGTTTTTATGTCTTCTGCTCCAGTAATAGCTTAACACTTAAAAATTTAAATGACCAATTCCTTATTATTTGTGGTCTGCTTATGCCAACGCATAAGATAAAATGTACCGTGCACAGAAAGTATACATATTTGTCCCTTTAGTCATTTCATTGAGTTTTAATACGGGAAGAAGGGAAACTGATTTACTTTTGCATAGACGCTTATAGAAATCACAATGTGAGTGCCGCCACCCATCTTGAGACTTGAGGTCATGTCTCAATTGTATATTTTAATTTTAGGACAAGATATTATTTCTTCATCATGAAAGTAATTCGCGAATATGAGGTTTTTTTTTGCGGGTAGAGGGTAGAAGTGAAACCTTCAGAAGTAGGTACTTAAATCACAATTTTGCTGGGCTAAATCATATGTTTGTCTCTTTTCATTGACACTTTTCGAGTATCGTTTCCGTTTCATCGAGTGTCAAATATCAATGGTGTTATGAAGTTTTCGCTTTACTAATGTGCGCAGCTATTAATGTAAAGATATAAATACGCGGCTTTGGTCTCCGAGCTACTATTATTGTTACCTGTGATCCGTCTATAGAAATTCCACAGTCTACTTTGACATACGGGGTCCAAGTCTCAATTATATTGATATAATGACTATCTATCAAAATTCTCAGAATGAAACGTATAATGTATTTGCGGCAGAAAATGCAACGACCCGTGTTTTGGGTCTAACACGTCTATTTGTAATAACAAATATTGCAAATTTACTTTCTTAGTAACCTTATGATTTATTCTGTAGATTTTCCCAAAAAAAAACAGCGCTGCGTTGTAATTAAATATGAGCCTCTAAAGTTGAAGAATAACAATGAATAACAAAATAAGAGGATTATTTTTCTTGTCAATAAATGATGATGGTCCTCGGTAACCACTTAACACCAAATGAGCCGTGAGCTCGTCCACCCAGCTAAACAAAAAATTTAATAAAAAAACCAGTGAGCAAGATGTGTTTAATAAATAAATAAAATAAACAAAGACTTGTGATATCCGTAAGATATTACGGTCTATGTGACACTAATATATAGGAAAATAAATCTTGTTAAGGTTTTCCAATGCATACACAGTTCCTTATAAGGATTCTGATGTCGTTCGCCTAATCACCTAATTGTATTATAAAATCGGATTGGTCGCTGGTAAAGGGGTAGAACACTTTCAGTACTTACATAGCCGCATGAAAGGCTTCTCTGTAATATATACTTAGTATATGACTGTATGTAGATTTACAAAGGAAAACTTGCTCACTTCATTGGAATTACTGTTGCCATGTTTTTAAAGTGAATAAATAAGAAGTACATAATTGCGTACTTCTGAATCATTATTTACTATTTTATTTTATTTTATTTATTTTTGCCCGCAACTTCGTCCACCTGGAATAGTTACTTTGGCATAACGCTAAATTTTACCTGCGACTTCATTTACGTAGAAATTGAAAATATTTTTGAATAATAGAGAATGTTAAGGAGCTATTTACTTATGGTACCAAAATCACGCTTTTTAACCGACTTCAAAAGAGGAAGTTATCAATTCAGCCACAATTTTTTATCTATGTAGGTATGTTCACCGGTTTCTCGAGAATGCTTGAACCGATTCTGATAATTCTTTTTCTTTCTTTTTTTCAAAAGGATAGACTTCCTGAATGGTCCTGTAATCATCAAGATTTGATGATGAGATCCTGGAGAATTGTCAAAGCCTATCTTGAAGTGATTTGGGTGTTTCAATGGTGTAATGAATAACGTATTTATTTGGATAGGATTAATATAATCTTTATAATATACCTTCACAAATAATGCTTTATTTTAAAACAAATTTGGTTAGCATAAAAAACGTTATAATGAGCCAACCTTTAAATATAGACATATGCTATCGCGGACTTTTTTTTAAAACTTTAAAATGGAACAATTCATTATTTTAGCGTAACTTAACCGTTTCCGCAGCGTCAATAATATTCCGCACGCAGCGGAACCTCTCAAAAGGTAAACATACCCCGATTTTGAAACATTATTTATTGGTGCTCCGCTTGCATTGGTCTTAGTGTGATATTATATAGCCTTCCTCAATAAATGAGCTGTCAGACAATGAAATAATTTTTCAAATCGGACCAGTAATTCCTGAGATTAGCCCGTTCAAACAAACAAACTCTTCAGCTTTATAATATTAGTATAAATTACAAAATTGTAAGTTCCTTGAGAACAGTACCCTTATATGAATATGGTATGGGTAACACCACCTACTCAATGCAGTTTTAGTGACGTGCTAAAGAAGTAAACACAACTATCGAGGTAATTGCAGTGAAGTAAATTACAAAATTCTTTTAGCGCCGCGATACTTACAGCTGAATTGATAGTTATCACGCGACAGTTATTTTGATTTCCTACCTCGGTTTTTGAAATGAAAATATGACAATGTTACGACAAACACTATTAATTCGGAATGAGTCGTCGAGGGCGTGTACGTTGTCTATTTCATATCTTGTAATTGCTTGTTTAGATGCCGAGTTCCGCCATTAGTACCTACCTTCGTAAATGAGTTCTTGTAGATTGACATATTTTATCTATTTAATGGCATACTTTTATGACCTTTTTTTATTGCTTATATGTGTGGACGAGCTCACGGCCTACCGGATGCCAAGTGGAGCCCATAGACATACACAACGAAAATGCTGCAACTCACCTTGAAACATCACTTCTCGGTCTTTATAATAGAAAGGCTGTCCCACCCTTCAATTCGAAACGCGTTACTGCTCGGTGACGGATTTAGGCATGATACCGCCCAAGGCCCTGTTTATCGCACCGCCCTTAATGTTAGAATATATTTTAATTTTGATAGATTCGATTTTTTACTGATTTGTGAATGTAATCTACGACCAAATTATTCAATTTTATCTATATCTATTGTATTTATATGTATGTATGTACCTTAGGTATACTAATTTTGCAAACTCGCGCCCACAGACGGAGATAGGTTTGTTTAGATTGATATTGTGATGCGAGCGTTTTAATTATAAATATCAATGTAATTTTTTTCATTGACTGCGTGCACTGGTGCCCGGATTTGCACGATAAATTAGCTATTAAACTAGCTTAATAAGGAGAGATGATCGGTTATTCTTTGGGACGAGTGTCCGAGTGCAGTGAAACGAATTTAATTTAATTCATCTTAGTGAATCTGAAGACAAGTTTGTGCATTTATCATAGCGCGGCAGTTCTAAGAAGTACATAATACGAACTTCCCATGTGCGATTTAGGGATTATTTTAGTATGCTTTATTACTATAAATTATCATAACAATTTAAAATGTTTGTTGAAATGAAGAACAACTGATGGGGTTTTCATGTAATTTTGGTAGGTCGATAAAAATGAAATTGGGACCATTATCTGTCTACTTGGAGCTTTTGGATCAAGTACACAGATAGATCTTAAGTGATTTACTACCATTGGATTTGTAGTATGTAGAGTATGCTTTAGCCACGTCATTAAGGATCCATCAGATCCAATAACCTTTGCATTAGATGCCTTCAGTTCTAACACTAGGAGTAGGCTTAGGGACCCCGGTAACTGTACTCGTCAAGCTCGACAAAGAGTTTGACGTGCAACCTAACCCATGCATCAGTCCGCTGAGTTTCTCGCCGGATCTTCTCAGCGGGTCGCGATTCCGATCCGGTAGTAGATTCATTCGTGAAGCAGCTGCTCTTGAGTTGTTAGGTCTTCTTCGGAGGCGCTCGGGCAGTTGTTAGCAAATTTCACCCCTCCTGGCTGAGCCTTTGCTCGCCCACCTATCCTGGTGAAACTGGAAAGGCCTCCGGGCCACCAGTAATCCTACAATAATAAAAAAAGTATGCTTTAGTTTTTAATTATACGAATTTCCGTTAGTCCAGTGGTCATTGAGGCTGACTATATCGGTATTTCAGTTTGATACTCGGTCGGAGTAAAGTTGTGTGTCTATTCTTAGCTTAGAATATCTGTTTTCTTCAACGTGTATATACATTTATTTTCAAACGACCTCTAAAATAAAATCCGCAGTAACTATTGATTGGTGGCAGAGCGTATTTTAATCCTGCACGTGTAACTACAGTCATCTTGCATATTTCTACCACGAATCACATATGCGTTTGCAAGGAAAGTTGTCTAACACTTCATACCTCCTGTCCACTAACACTTCACAATTCAAATCTTGAAGTGGGTGCATACTATTACCCATAAAAAACAAAAGACTATATTTTACAAGCGGCTCAGGTACTTTTGTAGTAAAACAATTAGGTTGCAGCCAGTTGTTTGGTATCAAGGAGAAAATAGAGATAACAATGAAACAACAGACTTTTAAGGTTCATAAATACTCATATTTTATTAAATCAACTGGCCTTATTAAATTACGACTTAAAACAAACTTATAGAATTGACTTTTCGCTGATAGGTATTCACTTGACATCACAATACACTTAAAACTATTAATGCTATCTTAGGTCAAACATTATGTCAGACCTAATTTTTTTTTGCTTAAAATCTATTTTATATTAGTGGTAGTTTCTAGTAACAGACATATAAAGAAAAGCATACGTCCTAATAGAGAACCTCCGCTCTTACTTGAAGTAGGTTGTAAAGTCGTAAGCGTTCTCGGTCTGACCGCTTGAAGCTTACAATACTTGCTTACTTTATTAGTAACATAATATTTTTTATACTAAAAACGGTAAGTGCCAGTGCAAAGTCAGTCGTATCGAAAATATATTTTACTAATTATTCATAGCTGGCTTTTCTTTGGTGCTCTAGCCGTTTTATGCCTCGTATGCATTCCAACTTAACACAACCAAGGGCGCTTCTACAAATGCTGCTTATTTATCTAAAACTTAATATTTCAACAATGTAGACTGCTCAAAGTTTTATTGAGTAATTACGATATAAAATTTTAAGTTTCGCCCTTATTTGTATGTTGGTCAGACCTATTGCGACATCATCGTAACATACTATGTAGAACACTGACAAGACCGGGCAGACATTGCTGCAGTTGTAATAATATCACCTCATAATCTAATATAAACATCATCTCAGTACATTGACTTATCTCCATAACAATAATATTTCATACTATGTTACCAAATATGCATGTTCTTATTTATATTTATTTTAATTGTCGTAGTAGTATAATTAAAAACAAAATCACTGACGACAAATAAATAGTTGTATTTTGTTACAAGAGAAAACAATCGCTTTTAAAAAGGAGCTAGATAGCCTCCTTTAAAAATATCGGGCCGCGCTTAGTTATGCGTAAACGCTGAAATATTAGTTTGAACTCTTATACTTAAACATTAGAAATAATTTAAAACAAATTGAACGAAAATTTTGGCGATGAACCCAATTGTGGTAACATGGCTGGTTGGTTAATCTCACTATGTTAATAACATGACGTAGGTATTCATTGAATTGATAATAGGTAACCATAACAACTAACATTGGCTAACCTAAGTTTTGCAAACGAGTTACTGTGGACTGTCTATACGCTGATTTGTTTTTGAAAAGTCGCTTTCGTCAAACCTAGAAAAAAGTTATTTGCCCTCATTTGAACTTAAATATCAATGAACTACCTGGTAACGGACGGATTTATTTATATCGACGCATTGCAAAGATAAATCTAATTACATTTCTAGACTTTCTAATAAATTGGCCACCGTGTGTATACTATTCAATGATGTATTGAAAAGATGTTTGCACTTTTCATTATTATTGAATAACGACCTATCCAACCCTTCTTAACGGAATGTATTGAACAATTTCTGGACCATTGAATAAGTTAGATATATTTTATACACGATAGAAACACGTTAGAATAACTAGCTGAACTAGAAATTAAAACATATTATTTAAAACAAAATGTTTATCTTGGAGATCCTGATGATGAAATTAGGGCACAGTAAAAAAATTGTTGCATTGCCATCGATACTCGATAAGTGTGTAGAGTAATTAAACGAATTCTTGTTTTTTTTTTAAATACGTTTAAAATTGTGTTATATTCTATATTAAAAGGGTGTTGAAAAAGGCAAGACCTTTATAACATAAATAAACAAAATACAGTAGTAGTCAGAGGTAAATCACACCCAGTGCTCTGACCTGAAACTGGGGTAGAAGAAAACAAACTACTAGCTAGTATTAAAAGGCGATAGTTTCTTATTCAATTATGCACAAAATTGAGAAAATTGAAAAGGGGTTTGTACTAAATAACGTTAATGAACGAAAGAGCAACAAGCAGTAAATTCGACTTACTTCATTGTTTCTGAATTACGCGTAAAACCGCAAAGTATGTCTAGGAAATACAAATAGTTATAAATTTTCATGAATTTGTTTTGCTGTGGAATTAGAACCAAAGTTTTATTCGAACAGTCGCCAATGTAAAAAAGTGGTGATCCCAAAAAATATTTCTTAGTAGTGATTATTGCACCGTAACTGCTTCTGTAAATGGGTCTTTTTTACTGGTGGTAGGACCACTTGTGAGTCCGCGCGGGTAGGTACCACCGCCCTGCCTATTTCTGCCGTGAAGCAGTAATGCGTTTCGGTTTTAAGGGTGGGGCAGCCGTTGTAACTATACTGAGACTTTAGAACTTGTAACTCAAGGTGGGTGGCGCGTCTACGTTGTAGATGTCTATGGGCTCCAGTAACCACTTAACACCAGGTGGGCTGTGAGCTCGTCCACCCATCTAAGCAATAAAAAAAAAAAGAAGAAAAAAAAAAGGGTTTTCTGTTACTGCTTTCCTATTGGATATTATGGAAACATAAATTTCCTCCAAACATTGTTAGTAATGCTTACGAGTTTCCTTGTGCATACTTTAAATGTTTACTTCGGGACCCGTTCTCCTACACTCTCTTTAGACATATAACATAATGCTTACAGATATTTTAACACAAAAGGGGGGGCTAGAATTCCCACTACACGCAAAAGAGGCCTAAGAGTCAAGTTATGAAAACCGGCATGTGACCAGTGAGTGTGAGGAGTAGATATATAGACGTGGAGTCCCAAAATCCGTAAGAGGTTACCTGCCGTAGAAGATCTAGATAGCTATCCTTCCTTAATACTATTATTATACTACTATTATTACATTGTAATAAATGCAAACTTACAAAAACAGTTCCAATTAAAAACTATATGGTAAAGCGACGAATATACAATTGTTACCACAGTCATGTTTATCTTACTAATGGTAGCTTTGATAAGTAACATTTATAGACAATGTGTGCAAGAAGCACATGTTGTCGCTAGCTCATTTATAATACAATAGAGCAATTAATTCTAAATCGAACTAATAAATAAAGCGTTTTACACTCGACTAAAAACACAAAACTTTGGTTTGCATTATAAGTAAACAAAATAAATTTTCGTAAGTCTATTTAAATGTTATTATATATGTACCTGGAATAATTAATTGCTTTTAGGTGTTTGTACGAACTACGTATTAAAATTACAAAATCAGATCGGTGAAAATAATTTGATTTAAAAAAGTAATTTCAATTTCAATTGACGCTTTTAAAACTATACAATATCTCTTATTATTTACATTATTTTAGTAATTTATTCAGTCCAAACATCAAAATTAAAAAAGAAATCATCAATATCTGTATTTTCAATTAAAAAAAAATTAATATGCTGAAATGCTAATTTTATAATTTTTTTCTTTGGATACCTATTCTGATATTTAAAATAATTTATGAAGTAAAATAGTTGTGGGCACAATACACAAACGAATACAAGTGCAAAATATATTAGCGAACACTACAAAAAAATAAAAAAAGCATGCTTTTTTTATATCCAAGAAATCAATTAGTGATAAGCTGTGTTAGGGGTGGTGAGGCCTCATCTCCATAGTATCTGTAACGGTGAGGTACTTGCAAGGTAACGGTGGAAGCTTCGTTCATCTCCGAATGCTGTGAGTCACGGTGGCGGCGTAGGTCCACCTTACGTTGGAATGCTTTCTCGCAGAGTCCACACGAGAAGGGCTTATAGCCGGTGTGTTTCCTCATGTGTGTGATTAGGTTCGAGCTCTGGCTAAAAGCTTTCGAACACACCACGCATTTGTGTGGCTTCTCACCTGAAAAAAGGTATTTCTACGTTATTTTCGGTCAGCTGCATCCAGATGCCAGTTTTTAAAGTACTTTCTTTCTCATCTTTGTAAATGGTAATCGAATTATGTTTGATAATCCAATGAAGTAAGTTTTTTTTCAATATGTTTATATTGTTCTTCTTGTTTTTAGTACCTACTGCATTTCAGGGCTGGGTAGGCATCATGTAAACGGAATAACGTAAACCATCATAATAAAATTCAATAACGTTTATAACGTAGAAGCTACCGATTCATAATTAATAAGGGAAAGTGACATGTAAGAAACCACGGAATACGAAGTATAACGCGGAACGCGGACTGGTAATTAAAGCTTTTGTGACTAGACCATTTGTCATATCCTCGCGTATTTATTATTTAACGTTCCGTTACCGAACTGATTTAAAATGCAGCGCTGCCTCGTCGATCCTTGTATTCATTAACTTTTACGATAATTGTTTATTCGATAACCCTAATAAGCTATAAAGGAAATCGTTTAGTTCATTCATCAATGATTTTTAATAAACACAAAATGAATTAACTTTTAATTGTGAGTTTAAATGTAGGTGTACAAGCCGGATTGTTTTGGTTTTTTTTTCTTAGTCTTGATGTTCATGTGAAGGCCTGTGAAGGTTGCGCGGCTAATTGCCAAGCCGCATTTTGGAATATTGATGATGAGGCACTTATCGAGGGGACGAGTGCCATGTAAGGCCGCTGTAAATCATTCGGAACAGGGCAGAGACGTGACGAGATGTCTCCGCCTGAGACAAATATGTCCGCCACATTTTTTAGTTGCTATAATTCGTCTCGTTGATCTCACTGGAAGCGGACAGACAATTGACAAACGAGCTTTTGTTTTTACTTTAACAACTACTTTTAGAAAACAGTACTTGTTTAACTCACATAAAGACCTTTCCTGCTACATTTTTTTTTTATTAATCTTCATATTGAACCATTGAATTGTACTACATAATTGAAATTAAAAAAATAATGAAATAAACAACGTTTTGAGGTGTGTTGTCACGTTATTCCTTATATTGAGTAATTGCATGTGTACATTATAATTTTAATAAATTTATCGGTAGCTTAGAGATTGCGGTTCGCGAGATTCATAAGTACATATTCGCTATCTTTAGCTTAATGAGCCAACAAAACAAGTACAACTTACGCGATGTAACAGAATTATTTTTTAGTAGGCTTGTGTTGTCGGCGGCTTGAAGTTTTTAAGTAGTAACTCGTTTAAAAAGCTGTGTATACTTTATTCATAAGACACCACAATTTTTAGATTTAAGAAAATTCCCAAAGAGCTTTTGTATCATATGGCATGTTAAAAATTTGCAATTGTAGTTGGCAGTTTACAAGATTTTTGTCATAATTTTAATGAAATTTGATAGGCGAGGGCGCTAGTAGCTTCAAATATGAGTTTAAATTAAACATTGAGCGAATTTTGTATTACATTAATATAGAAAATTACAACATATAAATCGATTTCGCTAAGGACGCAAGTTAGTTGAATTTTTTATTAAATGACAGGGTAAAGGATATTTAACAAGCGGTCTACAGTCAAGTTAACACCGGTATGATGTACGAGAGACAGTTGTCATAATAATTGGAGTTTCACACTAAGCTGTTTTGAATTGTTTGTAATGGGGGTGATTTAATAAGTCGACGATATGTTACGTCAAATGTGTTCAATTTTCTGGGATATTTAGAATTATGGACTGCGTATTACAATATCATTGTCGGTTCAAAGACGGATTTAGACGGAGAGACGGGTTTGGTATGTTAGTAGGCATCACAGATTCGTACTCAATTCCTGGTTAAAATATCGAAAGTTATCAATTGAGTCGACTATTATCAAAGCCGGCAATGTGACTTTTGGACAATTATTGGTAAATCAGAAAACCGAATTATTGACTTTGTATTCCATTGGCAGTCACAAAACTCTTCGGAACGACATCTTAGATAAATAACAGGTTAACTAATAACTTTTATTTAATGCAGGTTTTGAACCGTATTCTTTGAAGGAGACGATTATATTCAAATCAATCTGTATTGACATATCAATAACATTTTTTTGTCGAAATGCACAGATTGCCACCTTTGATAATAGGCGACTCAATTATCTCCCTGGTATATATATTTTGGTATAAATAACACCGAAAAATCATAAAATGTACTTTGCCGTTTTACGTTACGTTTTTTGTTTTTCTGCAATACGCAATAGTAATCTATTGAATTGCTGTTCGTTAGTCTCGCTAAAACTCGAGAACGGCTGGACCGATTTGGCTAATTTTGGTCTTGAATTATTTATGGAAGTCCAGAGAAGGCTTAAAAGGTAGATAAAAACATGAAAATACTGGGAATTAAATAAAAATAATAATTTTGTTTTTCCTTTGATGTATCCCCCGTCGGACGGATTCCTTTTGTTGGTTTTAAGTTTATTTTATACAAAAGCTTAGGTCTTTTATTTATCGATTGAGGTATTATGAAGTCTGTCAGCTAGTACAGACTAAAACAGAAGGCGCAAGAGTCTCCAGCTTCAGCTGACAGCTAGAAATGTGTAACTTCGTAAATAATAGTATTTACTTTCTGTTTACCTTATTGCCGTTTCGTATTTATACTATTTATAAAAATATCCAATAAAAACTGACCTGTATGTATGTAAGTGTGTTTCTTCATATCCGATTTCTGGTGGAAGCGTTTCCCACAGTACTGGCAGGGGTAGGGTCTCGTGTCAGAGTGTATCAGTAGATGGGTGGACAGGGTGCTCGATCGCTTAAAGCATTTCCCGCATTGTTTGCACTAAAAAAAAACAATTATCTTTAGCTAATATACTCGCTTTCTTTACTTTTCTAAATAAAAATTACATGAATTTTATGTCAATTTAGCATTTGGGCAGCCAATCAACACAATTAGTTTACAATGTATTTTTTTTTTGTCGTGAGATGTTTTGGGCCAACCCAAAAATTTATATAATTGACAATTCTTGAGAATATGCTCGGTAACCGCTAAATATCAAGTAGACCCGTGCATAAACTATAGTTTAAAAAGCCATAGGCGATGATAGATTTAAAGCCTAATGGAATATTGTATGATCGTTACTTGACATATTTCTGTATCTCTTCAAGTACCTAACCAATCGATAAATATGAGTGATCCTTGATCCGTTTCTGGCTATTTACGGGGTACAGTGCAAAATATGTGCCCAGAGTGCCTTTGAGCGCACTTCGGAAATAATGCAGTTCTTACAAAAGTCTTTAAAATTATGCTCTTTTGCCAGTATTAGTTAAAAACAAAAATAATTAATTTGCTACAACTATAATAGGTTTTGGAATAGTTTAACTTTTACTGAAAAAACATAATACAGATATAGATTAAATTTTACGGAATCCTACTTAAATATTTACATACTTTACTTTATTTACTTCACTTGCAATACTTAACGTATGTTACATGTTCATACAAATATTTTTTATCAAATAATTGTCCAAATTTTTTAACTGCCCCTAGCGGTCTGTAAAACTCGAGTTGTATAATTAAAACATTACTGACACCCGTCGTTCAGTTTCACAAGCCCTGACAGCTAGTAATAAGCTAATGATAGGGCTTCACAACTACCCCTTTCTACACTTTTCTTTGATTTTCCAGCTCGGTATCGTTTTGTGATTTTTTTCCTTTGTCCGGTAATTAGTTCTCGACGACGGATCGTTATTCGTATTTTTCACATAATTTATTAACGCATCGAGAAAGTAAATCAACTGTAGGTAATTGTTTCTTAGTTAAAAATGCAATGAAAACGCGTTTAAATGTGACGTTTCGAATTATTGTGGTTCTTGATGGCGGGAAAGACAGCCATAGAAAAAACTGAGAATATTTACATTATGTAGACTGATTATACTCACGCAGTACAAGGATCTCTGAAAATTTGTTTACAAAGAGTAAAAAAAACTGTATGCTTACTTTTGGTATACAGTGAGGCCCTACATTTATGGTTTATTTACATACACGTACCTAACAAAAGATTTCTAAATAGATACTGTGAGAAGTATGAGTGTTCTTTAGATTTATTTAATCAGATGTTTTTGGAATGCATACGAAAATGTTCAAGTCAATTCATGTTCGGTTTGAGACACAGATTACATCAGTGAATCATACAGATATTTCTGTATTTAAAATTGATATTAAGTACAAAGCTACAACAAGCACGAATGTAAAATGACGTATTTTTACATTACATTTATTTATTTGGTTTATTTGATTATAATGCATGAATATGTTAATACTAAATGAAAAAAATACATCTTGATACAAAGTTTTAATAGCATTTAAACTTTTTCCATATTTACCGGTAATAATTAAATGCACCTTTATTATTTCAATAATGTTTATCAAAGTTAAACATTTAACCTACTTATACACCTCTATTCGACCTCGTCAGACACCTTCAGCAATTTTCTTTTCTTAAATAATATAATTAGTTCGGCATGAAAAAATACAACTCTCATTTAGTAAGCCAACATTAAACATTGTTTTGTATTGCGATTTCTTGAATTAATTGTTAAATTATCATGAAGAAAATGGAACATGTAGATAATTTTGAACTTCTCTTACTATTTCTTTAATAATTTGCAAAGAACATTTGATAAATGAAACATTTCAAATTTTCTTTTATTTTCATTTGATATTGTACCAAATAATTATCATTTGGAGGCTACTTTTATGAAGAAAAAAAAAAACACGTGCTTCTTAAGAGCCTCTCAGTGATTAATATGTTTCTTTGTTTCAAAATTACTAATTGAATGCAGGTGAAATCGCGCCGGGTCCATTGTTATTACGCACACTATGTTTCATCAATTGATGGTGTTACTTTTAACGGCTAAAACAGGCCGAATTTTTTTTAGTAATCAAGTTAGAATAGGAGAAAATTTTAGCCATCGTTGGATAATCATGCGGAATGATAATCCAACGGACGAGGTTCAAATCCGCGTAACGGGCCTGTGACAGTTGGCCAGGCAGCTGTCTCGACTCGCGCCTTACGAAAACCGCTACTTTTTTGGTCGACTTTTTATATCGATGCACTCTTATAAACAACACAGGTGCTAGGGTATGACTGTCCACATATGGTTATCGCTTTGTAGGTGTTTTTTTTTATATATGGTCGTTGTATCGCGTAAAACTCCCTAGGTATTTTATTGTAAAAACTTAATCCGTTTTTTATTTGTTGGTTTGATGCGTGGATGTGTTCACAGCCCACCTGGTGCTATGTGGTTATGAAATTTCCAGTAGACTGAGAGGTTCCTAAGTATCCGAGGTAATCTAGCATTATCGTACAATCCGAACAACCCTCTTCAATATGGAGTATTTATATGGAGTTTATTTCATACTATTCACTTTGTTCGTTTGAGATCGAACGCAAAAAAGCCGAAATCTGATTAATAGTCATTTTGATAATAAACAATACAGATATTTAAGTCCTTACTTCACAGTTTCGAACCATTTCGATGCACACACAGTGCAAAAAGAGAGATCGATAGATTTGTCAGGGTCGCAAGACCCGTTCTGATGCACCGTACTTATTAACACAAGCGCTATTTTTGCTATTTGATTTGTTAAAAAGAATGAAACGGAGACTGGTTTGCTATTTTAATACATTTTGAACGGAAACTGTACAGTTATCCAAGACTGGTTGATGTCGCCTTGCCGCAACGCGTTAAAGTAATCGTGCAAGAGTTTAAATCTACGTACCTGGAATGTTTTCTCATTTTTATTTTCGTTTTTAAGGAGCAACGAATAATTAAGGTCTGCCGGTGGCGGTAATGGTAACTGGTAGCTCTGGTGTGCTGGTGCTGAAGGACATCGGCGTGGTTCCGTACTGGTAGGGCGCTCCGTGCTCTCAGGACTACTGCGGCACCTTTTCACTAACTCTAAAGGGGCTTCTTCGTCGTCACGTCTGCTCCATTTACAGATAGGCAGAGTAATATCGTCTTGTTCGCGTTCGCATACACTGCCCGGCGACCAAATCTGACGATTTTTCATTGACAGATTTAAAGGTAGCTCCTCTTCGCCATCTAGGACAAAAAGTATACAAATCAAAATTCAGTAAATGTATTCAGTATATACGTAAAAAATAAATCAGTGTGCTATTTAAATATATCGAATTGAATCTTGACACCGTTCGCATAGAAAATATTTTATGTTTCAAGCAAATAAGTAGTTAAAAAATTCTTAATTTCCAAAGAAAAATTTCATGTAGTATTATGTTATTGAATTCATTAAAAGTTCCTGAATCTGACTGCAATGTGTTTTAAACGAATATTATTTTTAATGTATTCATTTGCATGTGGAAATACGTAACAATACATGCATCGGGTCGTCTGTGTAAACATATGAATTTAAGTAGTGTCGGCGTTTCTCTTATTCTGTTCTTCACGCTTTTAACTTTATATTTAAAGTCGGACGAGTCAAATCGGTCGTCTGTAAAATGACTTATGAAATCTGTACAGGTGTATATTGTTTGACAACGATTACGTCAATGTTTACTTTTTACAGCATAAAATTTACTTATTTCCAAACCTGCACAAGGAGCATTTTTTTTAAATTTCATAGATACATTCTAAAGCGTTTATGTGTAGAGATTTATGATAAAATAAATTTTAAATTAAGTATCGTTTATACTGCCTTTTTATCGGAGAAACATTATAAGCGTCATATAGATATACAAATTTTAACAACCCTAACCATACTCAACATATCAACTGGAAGAAAATCGGAATGTGTTTTTTCGTAACCATGATTTATGACTATAAAAATATACATAAAAATTCTAGTCCATATTTATGAAACAATATTCATTGGGATCTAGTAGTCATTGAAATTGCTTAAATTGGTTCAGCAACGATTTTGTCCATAATAGTTTCAACCAACTTTTAATTGAACTAGTAAAATTTGGTTTCGTCCTCAAAACTCTGTTTTGGAATAATTAACCAATTGATAAAGTAGTTGTTAGTATGTATAAATCGAATTCGTGGTTCGAGAACGTTTCCGCTGTTATCACGAGGTTGACTCGCAGCTGGTACAAGAATGGATAAGAACCAATTAAAACACTTACTTAAAGAATTTTTAAACAACAAGAATGAGTAGTATTTTTCGTAATATACAATTCGTAGTTTATTTTGTATTGTTAGAGGTATCATTTAAGTATTTAAATACGAAATGATAATTCAAGGTAATTTTAGTTAGAAATAGTGTATACATGTTAGAAAATATGGTAACTAAATTAGCAAGCATAGAATTCGTGTTATTGTTGTTAGTTCCACGAAATCTCGAATAGAACGATGTGTTAACACAATTGTTTTTACACTATCTTGTGTCGTTGTATTGTTAAAAACGATCTGCATGTTCCGATAACGTACTAAAATAAATATTATTCTTAAATCTGCAATACATTAAGCTACTAAGAGTCGAGCTCGATTATACCTATTTAACCAAAGGTTAGAACTGATATTGGAGTGTGTGGCTATGTGTATAAGAAACACAATCTTACAATATTATTCTCAGTTGCCTTACTGGAAGATTCAGGATTGACCTACGTGCAATACTGTTATCCTATTCCTCTTTGGCGCACCCGCTTTTTTTGCAATATATAATGGTCTCACAAAAAGACCGTGACATGTGTCTCAACTATGATAGGTATAGTGATTAAGAACGATGTTATTTTATGTTTGAAAGATTACTGGAGGCCTGGACGCCTCTCTAGTTTTACCAAGGCAGGTGGGCGAGAAAGGGCTTAGTCAGGAGAGGTGGGATTTGCTAACAGCTACCCGAGCGCCTCCAAAGGAGACCTAACAACACAGGAGTAGCTGCTTCGCGAATGAATCTACTACCGGATCGGAATCGCGACCCGCTGAGAAGCGATTCCGATAAGAACGACGTATCAAGGCTTAAGGCAACTAGTTTCATTCTAAACTAATCTGTACCAATGTCAAACTTAATAGCATTTGTTATGTTAACTACATGGGGCTTACTATATACCTACTTTATTTATAATCAAGTTTCCTTGAAGCATAGGAAGCATGAATTGTTTCGTTGCGACGGAATTGACGGAGGTAAACGACTTGTTAACGACGACATATCACCGCTTCGAGTTATTAATCGGTGCCTTACACCGATAGCTATTGTAATGAGTCTCATTCAACACCGTGAGACATGTAAAGAGGCCGAGGTGAACACACAGTATGCAGTAGAAGTATTAACATTCTGAGCATTTTACCGATACGAAATGTAAGCAAACGCTTTCGCTGTCGTAGATAATCTAATCGTTTTGAATGCGTAAATTCTTGTCGAATTTTAGGAAATGCAGGAACGCAGTGATCAAAAATGTGTGTAGCTATTAATACTTTCATAGGCAGTTAGGATAAATAATAAAAAAAAACAACTATTTATACATATTTAAGTACTAACGGTAACGGTACTTAAAGTTAGAAGTCCTTTATTCTTCGTAAATGGAACCGGCTATCAACACCACTTAGGTAATTGGTCATATTTAGTTTTTGGTTCTTATTAGTTATCGATACAACAATTCTACAATGAAGAACATTGTTGAATTTTATGAAAATAATTGGTGTATTTGGCTAAGCTAATGAATATTGGCGATACATATTATGATTCCGCACGGGTAGTTATTGCCTCTTTCTGTTCAGTTATACCTGTTGGCTTAAAGATTTGGAAATTCTTTGTACCTACGTCCTAAATCATAAAACCTCTATAAAACTTATAAAACCTATTTATGAGTTTTAATCAAATTGGATCATTAATCACGAATATATAATTAAGGAAGTAAAAATCGGACAGTCAGGCTAGACATAGTTGGCCACAAATAAGTTAAAGAAATCTAACTGTCACTAATATTAAATCAAAGAAACAGATTGAATAAGTATTTCATGAAGTTTTTAATTATATTGGATAAAAAAAAATCATCCCGGATAAATTGTATAATTGATATTGAATAAGTGACATACCACTGTAAGGAAGGACATCGATAGATAAACTACAAAAGCGATTTAGTGTTTAACTGTGTTTTAGTTTACCTTCTCTTGTAGGACTGTTTTTAATCTGGCCCGTAGGTGTGCAGGCGAAGTCTGTTGGGGTGCGGGGCAACAGCAGAGGCCAAACTCCCGCACCACCATACAGTGCCCCGAGACTGCTACAGTACATTAAAGCTCCAAGCTCTGCACAAACGAAATTAATTATTCACTACAAAAGTTAATATGTCATCTAGCAAAATGTCATCTAGCAATTATGGCAGTCGACCATCTAAAGTTGTTGACTTTTTATTTTTTATTGCTTAGATGGATGGACGAGTTCACAGCCCGGTTAAGTGGTTACTGGAGCCCATAGACATCTACAACGCGGACTCACAAGAGGTCCTACCACCAGTAAGACTATTTGCATAATTATCAATGTGAACCTGGTATTTTTAAAAGTGAATTCCATCAAGTACCTGTAGCACGAGCGTAGTGTTTAAGAGCTCTTCCAGCCAGTTCGAAGTCCCCTAAAGGCGCTGTTTCCAAATGATGTTCTGAAGGCGAGTCCGGTGTTCGGGGAGGCGAATGTGGCGACGAAATTGACGTTGGGGACACGCTACGTTCGGGCGATGGAAACCGATGTCCCGGTACAGGAGCCGACGGCCAGAACTGTTCGGCCAGCCGTGATAGTAGCACGTGTCGCGACATTCTAAACAAAACACATTACGATGAACATATTTTACGATACATGTATTTTAGTACAGCACTATTACTACTACTCACACAGTCAGAACCTTAATTAAAAATTACTTGAATATGAAAATGAAGAAAAATCGTATAATTGGGACGTATATAAAAATGTGCATCGGCACGTTGCTTCATCAGGGAAATGATTGAATTTAACACCGGACACATTTCTTATTTTCATTCAAATGACAGTTGTATCAATAATCTGTTCGGCATTGAATAAATCACTACACAATACGTGAGTCAGTGAAACAATATTGTATCTGACATATTATGTTTATTTGCAGTCTTTCTTTGTATTTTTCAAAATCTTGCAATTTTTCGATAGGTTTCTTGATCAGTTTTGAAGAAGTGTTCGAAATTAAAAGTAGTAAACATTTTTTTTAAACTATGTAAAGTAAATTTTAACTAGTGTTTGTAATATAAACACTGCGTAACACAAATTTTCCAGTTAGCACGCCCGCACGGTTGTATATCCTGTGTGATTTTGTTTCTTACGATTCCGACGCATCTAAATATTCTCATTTGTTGTTTGCAACGCCAAAAAACCGATCTGAGCTAATTACTTTAAAGAATAAAAACTTTTAAATAATAGATTTGATTTATAAATGAAATAAACAAAATATATTGATTTTATCGAGATTTGATGGCTTGTGGTGACCGTTTAAGTGTTCTGAATAATGAAACTCCGTTACGTGACCAACGCTATTAGTGTTGAAACTCAGAATGTTCGTTGACAGCACTCAATGATTAATTTTGTCGCTTGTTTGTTGTTAGCGAATCGTATTAAAAGCTCAATCAAGTAAATGAAGAATCAGAATAATGGTGGCGACAGGGCGACCGCTGCGTACGCGCATTAATAATTCACGCGCCGAGTAATACAATCTTCATTAGACTAATACACATTAGATATTAACGGAATGAATGCTTACGTGCCTTCAATCCAATCCACGTGAAACTAAGGGTATTTCCATTAGGAATTAAAGCCGCGAAGCTATCTATGTTAAATGTGTCATACCTTTTTTTCCGTAATGAAAAATAATGATTTGACGCAATGATTTTCACAAATTTCCAATTATAATAATGTACTTCACCGATTCTTTGATTAATAATGAAGGATTGGAAAGTTTATTAAAGCTAAATCGTGTCATCTGCTAATATTAACACGGAGCTTTATTAACAAAGACGTCGTAAACTAATAATGATTAGATCTTGTTAATTAGTAAAACATTATCATAAGATGAAGCACAGTGATTTATTACTTTCATACGGCAATTCATAAGATTGTCCGCATTTAAAGACAAATTGACGGAATAATATGATTGCCTCATAAAAACACTAACTACATAACTAAGCTACACAATTTTCCTCAGCAATGGGAACTAAAACAAATGTCATGAAAATCAATCACCACATTCCTTTTAATCAAATAATGCAATCATGACATAATTGATAAGTGCAGATACACATAAATTATTTCTTTTGTTTGGCCTTTGAAAACAAAACAAACAAATGGTTTTAGCTGAAAAATACGAGTGTTGTAGCTGCGAACAGATGTTTCTTCTATTGTTATATCTAACCAATATGATATTAATTAAACACAAATTGAAATATGATTTTAATTAAATACAAAAGACCATTAAGTTATTGTGCACTAGTACATTAATTTATCACAATAAAGATGTTACAGAATACAAATCACGGAATCGGAAACATTGTAAGTAAGTGATTATGTTTTAAAAGTTATTTGCGTGTGATAAAGGGCGTATTGTCAGCACGCACGTGTAAATACCACTTAATTTCTGCCGCGTGGCTCTCTTGCATTCTGGTTTGAGGGAATATCAATATAATTAAAACATGAATCCATGTTTCATGGTGAAAGAGGAAGGTTCCTATGTATGGTACGCCCAAAAATGCATCGTATTTTTTTCATTCAAATTTCTTTATTATTTATGCAATAGAAACTCAGTATTCTGTTTTTATCTAATAATTTCTCTCGAAAAATCGTCCATTTTGGTTAATAATAATAATAACGGGGAATAAAGCAATCACGGTCATCCGGCCCCAATTTAGGATTCTCTGTTTTCTTAGTACCAGAGATTGACAAACATACTTATGTACGTTGAAATATATACATATATATAGATAATAAACGCTCAGACAAAGAGCAAACAAATTTATTCATTATATAATGTTTGCCCAATGTGAGAATAGAACCCTCGACCCTTAACACAGCAGTCAGGGGCGGTATCTACTACACCACCGAGTCAGTCTTAAGGTTAGGAAATAAATGTCGAAAAACAGTCATCCCGGTATCCCGTTGTTTCGATAGTCACGTTGCGTGCTCACTTGGGTTGCAAGATACTCATTAATGAAATGCGAATGGAGTGAGTGACTTTGATGATAAATCTCGGAATCGGATACAATTTTTTTTTTTTGTCAAAATTCGGTTTTGTATCGGTTGTTTTATATATTTCTCTAAGTAGGCACCTATTCGAATTGTTAACTAGAAAAACATATAAAATCGTGACCTGTGTTTTAAGTTTTCAATTCGGCAGAATGGTCGGCAATTTCAAATCCAAAAATGAACACATGATACAATGATATATTCGATGTCATACATTCCGGCTTAACTAATATGTTGTTTGCGACTGTTGCGAGACTTTCCCGTCTCTATGGCACTGCATATATGTTCAGTTTTTAAAAAACGTAGACGATTTATATAGATTATCAATATAGTGTGATCAGCCGTAAAACCATTGATCGTCAACTCTTTCTTATGTTGCCCTGACGTCTCATGTTGCAAGGAGCTCTGAGCATGCTAGTTGAATATTTAGATAATAGTGATGCGAAGCTGTTTCGGTATGCAAACATTACCAGCGACCAGTTTATTGTCTCCTCAGAAAATTTCTTCACAGTTCAAGGGCGTCGATTTTTTTACGACTATGTTAACGGTTTTTGGGAAGGCTTAAACGACGAAAGGAAGATCTTCCACCGAGCGGATGATATTTGCTAGGTAGACCGGCGGTCCGAATGTTGTTATTCGGAACTTGTATATATGCAAGCTTATCTTGAAAATGTCGTAAGCGAGATTCAGGCATCTGTCAAATATTTTGCGTTGTATGATGGCTACCGCCACAGGTTCGTCAGTGCTTCACGTCAATGCTTTCTTAAAGGTATAAACACATTACAGTTAACATTGAGTTACATAAGCATAGAAAATCAATCACCATTTATTGTATTGAGCTTTAATTCGGAGACGTAATATTGCATTGAGATTATTAAATTACGATTTGAAAATATGTATCTACTTTGTATTAAGATGAGAACGCGTTGAAATCTTTGCAACGAGATAATTGCGTGATTGAAAAACGTGCGTGCGCGCTGATTAAAGCCACCGAACTAAACGTAATTAAGAAGACTTTTACGATTTAATCTAGCATTTAATTAATTGAATTAGTATAATTAATGCTAGATTAAAATGAAAAAGTAGCTTTGGTTATGTCTTCTAGTCGCTAAGACAGATGAACTTAAATTTAGCAGAGCATTAAGAAAACATTAATTAGGTCAACTTTAAAATTATTCTTTTAAATATGCTCACGCATCACCTGGTGTTAAGTGGTTTATGGGACCTATTAATATTAAAACGTGACATTCTACCTTGAGATATGACATCGAAGTTTCCACTGTATTGTGTATTCGCGGCAGAAATAGTTAGAATAAAGCGTCTTATATGCCACGCTTGCATGCTTAGTATCTAAGCAATTTAAATATTTTTAATACGTCTCAATTATGTACAGCATTACGTAAATAATAATAAGCACATAATAAATATGTAATTATATTTTAAAGACAACCTGAAAATCGTGTAAAATGTTTTTTTCAATAGACTGCGGTTTTCTGCGCCACATGTCACCTACATACCTGTTCGGTAAGTACATATGTGCATGCGCATGCACAAAAGAAATACTTGAATACGCGTTCGTAGCTACGATCATCGAACACATGAACAAATTTAGTCTCGACACGTTTGTTTATTGACACGGAAGAATCGTCTTTATTTACCTTTGCACTGAATAAACCAGACGCTATTGAAACAATGTAAACACATTTCACTCTTATTCGATTGCAGTGCGGTGACAAATCCTTACATACGAACGAAACTTGCAGAATTTACTGAAGGTTTTGTTTAAAGTGATGTCTTGTCAGCCAGTTCTATATATTTAGTATGTAATTCTTGTTAATTATTTATTGTTACTCGGATTTTTTTTTTGTTATGTTTTATCTAGAAATTTCTAATAATAGAAATATTAAGTTAGGTAAGGGAAATCAAGACCTTAACAATTTCTTTTTTCGTTTTGTTAGTTAGCTATTTTCTAAAGCATTCATAACTTCATAGAAAAATACTGTTTTGTCGCTCTAAGTTTAATAGTTTTGAACTATACATTTTTTTTCCTATCTCTACTGATAGCCTTGAGAGGCTATTTCAGCTTCTCCTTGACGTGTAGGTGAGCTCACAGGGCTCAAACCGGGTGCGTTGCTAGCAGAGCAAGAGCAGTGCTTCGCAGAATCTACCACCGGATCGGAAATGCGACCCACTGAGAAGATCCGGCAAGAAACTCAGTGGGCTAACTATTCATAGTGTTTTAAATACACCGGCATGTGATTTAAAAGTAAAAGTATAAATGTGTTATACTAAATATCTACTTCAAACATAACGTAACTATCCTAGTAATCCAGTAACTACTTAACACCATGTGGGCTCTGAGCTCGTCCACCCATTTAAGCAATAAAAAAATAAAAAAATTATATTAATAATAATAATATGCATAAAACGGGAATTTCACAATGTTTATCAAAATATCACAACATATAAGCATTAAACTCTTTAAGTTTCGTTCATTGTAAGGATTTTCTACCACCTTGCTATCGAATAAGAGTGAAATGTATTTGCATTCTAGCGTGACTGTTTGACTACAAAATACCACATCACATGTAAGATGGTTCAATTTTCACAACAAAATATAATATTTAACATCAATACCTTATGGTCTAGTGTCCGAAATACTCTCAAATATGAAAGCTCAGGATCAATTTACTAATGCAGAAAGTAGAAAAGTAATTACGTATTGTTATGTTATTGGAATTCATTTATATCCGCGCCTCTTACCTTGTACGGGAATTCTACGAAGCTACGAACTTCTAACTCACTCACTGCTACGACACACTTTGTATTAGTTTTTTCTAACTGTAGTAGTAAGTACTCAAACAAATAATTGTCTATTAGCACACGAATAAAATGAAATCATTTTAAAGTGCTTTGATTTTGAGCTTCATTAGTTGTATACGCGATTCAAATCGTCGCGGGACTGGGAGGCTTTCCAGGTAGGCAGCCGAGAACAGTGGTGCGTCGCGTTTGGCGCCAGGCACCTGACTGAAATAAGGCTCGCGCGCCCCGACCTACCCGACTGACATGGCTTAGCAACGTTTTTTTTTTTTCAAAACTCTGCCGGGCAAGGGAAAAAAATGATTTCGTATGGAGGCTGCCCGATTAAGAAATGATTTGATGAAACAGTCAGTTGACAGGTGGCTCGCGTCGTGCTCACCGGCTAATTGCTGGGTGCGTTCAGCTCGGTAGTGAAGACGATGTACTGAAAAATTGTATTTTAGTATTAATGCCCGCAAATAAGCGGTTGCAGCTCGCGCGACATTAAGCACGCCGCTTTATATCATGTTTTATCATAGTTTCTTGCAAGTAATCGACCGGTTTGATATAGTCATGCATAGATCGAGAAAGTCTATCAGAGACGGCATAAGGTCCTGATTATAGAAGATTAAGCATTTGCAGGGATTTTGATTGAAACGGTAGAGCTTAGATTTGCTAGAGCAACACGCCCCGCCCAGTGCGCGCCATTGGTCGCGTTCTAGCGCTGGGCGGAGCGTTGCTTAGAAACGAATTTAGAAGCCTTTAACGGATTAACTGTGATTTCGTTAGCATTGTCGCTTATGTAGCATGTCGTTGTTAACTTACAACGGGTTACATTATTTTGTTAATTACATATCACGAGATGTTTGTATTAATTCATAGTCCACTTAGTGTTAGTGGCTATTGAAAGTCGCAGATAACCACCTTGAGACATGAGGTTCAATCATGCTGTAGAACGGTTTTCCTACACACCAAACCAGACCGCATTATTATTTTGCGACATACAATGCAATAGTATTCTGTGAGATCTATGGTCGCAAATTTGTGTATCTTATCATTACATTATTAATAGTAATAGAGGTCCCGCAGTAGTCGAAATTCGACTATAATTAATTGGAATAATAATTGTAAGTTTGTACACTATTATGATTGTAGTTTATACTTCTATAATCACAAATTTCGCAAGGCTACACTATAAAAAATATTAACAAAGACAAACAATATTTAATCTATTCTCAATTTGACAACAGACGTCAAGAACAAAAGTTTGACAATAAATAGTATGCACGCGTGTGTGCGTCAATCACATGGTATGTAGTGTGTGTAATGTTTTCTTTATTGATTTAATGTATCTTTTATGCATTATTTTAAAAAAATATTAGCATTATGCACTTCTTGTCTATATTCTCTATAAGTGTCGAAAATTTCATACTCCTCCGTCCGCGCAATTTTCGTAAAAAGGGATACAAAGTTTTTGCTTCACGTATTAATATATAGATTTATTGTATACACACATTATAGGTTTAAGAGTATTGAACATTATACATAGAAAATCCCAAATAAAAAATAAATAAAATGTTAAGATTTTTTAAGTTTGGTATTTGAGCTCACTGTAATGATTACCTTAACAACCGGCCACGTGTTTTCATTCATCCTAAAAATAGTCTTATCCTTGGATTGAACGTTTTGCAAAAGGGACGCAAGTATTTACGTGCATCACTAAACTACGGCCTCCACTTGCAGCCGGGTGGTCTGAATGCCTTATTAATGAATAAATAAACAAAAGTAATTGCATTTAATGCTTGTACCGATATGTATGGGTGAAGGCAGAAACGCAAGTCTAATTCTCTCTAGCTATTAAACCCACACGGTGGTGAGTTCAGTTTTTCTTACTTTTCTCCTCCACTTCGCTCTGTGTTTGACATCATCGTCAGTAACATTGCATTCCCTTTTGTCCTCCAGTACTACATGGTCTCACTTTGCCTTTGGTCGTTTTTATTTATTTATTTTTTATTGCTTAGGAAGGTGGACGAGCTCACAGCACACCTGATGTTAAGTGGTTACTGGAACCCATAGACATCCACGACGTAAATGCGCCACCCACCTTGAGATATAAGTTCTAAGGTCTCAAGTATAGTTACAACAGCTGCCCCACCCTTCAAACCGAAACGCATTACTGCTTCACGGCAGAAATAGGCGAGGTGGTGGTACCTACCCGCGCGGACTCACAAGAGGTCCTACCACCAGTAATTACGCAAATTATAATTTTGCGGGTTTCATTTTTATTACACGATGTTATTCCTTCACCGTGGAAGTCAATCGTGAACATTTGTTGAGTACGTATTTCATTAGAAAAATTGGTACCCGCCTGCGGGATTCGAACACCGGTGCATCGCTCAACACGAATGCACCGGACGTCTTATCCCTTAGGCCACGATGACTTTCTGTAGGTCTCCGACCGGAGAGGTCGAGTTGCTGTAATTTATTAGACGTAAGCCTAATCCATAAGCTCTCTAAATAATGCAGTCTCGTTATCTACAAAAGTACGGAAATCGTTAACGTAAAAATGGTGAATCCTAATCTGTGTTAGAATTTTCATCATGCTCTCTCTAGTAAGACTCGCGAATGTGTATGCTTTAAAACGCACTGTTTGGTTATCTGGAATTGCCTACGTCCATTAATGCCTAGTGGCGGTATTGTGAGGCCCCTCCAGTATGTGTTTCTGTCTGGTTTAATTGTGAAGCAATTAAGTTTGAATTTTTGTTAGTATTCTTATTCAATCGAAGCTTTGACCTCTTTTTTTCCTACTTATTTGCTGTTAGATAGACTAAGGGGCTATTCCAGCTACGCCCGGACGGGTTCGCCTACATGTCCAAAGGTAGACACGGAACTCTATCCACCGATGCCTATGAGTTGTAGTAATCGTCGAATGCTTACCGAATTAGGAACTTGTTTATGACCAAAAAAAATTTGATAGTCCAATATTAATATCACTTCAGTGCCTACGCTTCAAAAGAAATAGTAAACAACATAACTGTTAGAAAAACAGTTTTGTAACACTTGTTATTAGAAAGTTACGCTGTAGGTTGTAAGAATGGTCGGCCGAGGCACGTGCGGGCGTTTGAATAAATCCGTTAGAGGCGCACATGTCGCGGTCGCGTGGCGAATCTTGACGTTCAAGACTGAGGGTGCTATCTTCGAGAATTAGAGCTGCCCTTATTTATATATCGATATTTCGTCTGAATTTACTTTCATTATTTCACATTGTCCATCATTGACATTAGATTGGTAAAGTCTTTTTGAAAAAAATCATATCCTTAATCCCATACCACACCCTTCGAAAGTCGTGGGCGGGTAAAATAGCAACTAATCCCGACTGACGTATGATGAGGTATTTTGGCCTGGGTCATAGAACCGGGTGAAGACCCAATTTATCTGCTCAATTATTACTTAATTATACTGGGTATTACTACTTTTATACTACTGTCACAAAAAATATCTGGCCACAAGTAGTAACTACATATTACAATTCTCACATGCGATTCCGCTCGCGTGCATTGATTATATTATATTGTATCTCTTGAAAATGATTCCTGAAGTTCCTTTATGGAACGAAGGCAACTATAGCATAGTTCTTGGTGTCTATAGAAAATTAAATAAATTATGTATAAGAACTTCTTATTTTTTTGCACTTGATATTATCTATTTACAGCTTAGTTGTTAAATCTTCGTTTATCTTGTATTATTTACGTAGATATCAAATAGAATTATTGACATGAATATCACTTATCGTCTGTAAAAATCGAAAATATAATATTTTTTTATTTCATAAAACAAGTTCGACAAGATTCCCTGCAATCAATTTGTATGTGGCATCTCTAGTCGGCAACCACCTGCCTGCACCCCCAAGTTATATTTTATTCGACTTAATCGCCCTTTCCGTTATATTACCTGTTTTTTATTCGTGCATAAAGCAAATATTTCTTTTCTTTACGAGTTCTGTTCTTTTTAACTATAATAGACACTTTTAATTGAGAATCTATAAAAGGATTCGCGAGCCGGTACCCGTATATGGGATAAGCCTTCATCGTGGCGACTTGGATCTCATCTGCCCAATTAATACAAGTTGAGTGTAAGGAATGGCGCGCGGGGACAGCCGTCTGTCCGGTACCGGTTCCGCACGTCGCAGCTGAAACATACCGAACTTAACTGTTTTATTTTGATTTGTTTATCTATCGCGCTCGTACACACACTAGCTCTCGAAACTTGTTCGATGATTTGCAAGCGCCACCTCTAGTTGCTTGTTCGTTATTTATTTTTTTCACATCACTATATCGATAATTTCAAAACCCTACTAGCTAGCTAAAAAGTAAATAGTTACCAAACAATAGAATTTAGGTTTTACTGGTGGTAGGACCTCTTGTGAGTTCGCACGGGTAGGTAGCACCACTCTGCCTATTTCTGCCGTGAAGCAGTAATGCGTTTCGGTTTGAAGGGTGAAGCAGCCGTTGTAACTATACTTGAGGCCTTAAAAGGTGGGTGGCGCATTTACGTCGTAGATGTATGTGGGCTCCAGTAACCACTTAACACCAGGTCGGCTGTGAGCTTCGTTTACCCATCTAAGCAATAAAAAGAAAATATATTATGTACTAGCTGACCCGGCAGACTTCGTAGTGCCTCAATCGATAAATAAAAGACACATCAAGGGGACACATCAAAGGAAAAACAAAATTGTTTGTTTTTATATAATTCCGAGCTTTTTTATATTTTCTCACCTTTTAAACCTTCCCTGGACTTTCACGAATAATTCAAGACCAAAATTTGCCAAATCGGTCCAGCCGTTCTCGAATTTTAGCGAGACTAACGAACACCAATTCATTTTTATATATAGAGATTGGCAATCAGAAAAGGTTTTTTCGTTGCTTACTTTGAATAATCAGAGGGATAAATAAAACGAGCGGTGGTAAAAAGGTTGGGAGGAGGCGCAGGCGCGTGCCGATGCGACATGTGCACACGTGCGCTAACGGGCCGTGACGCGCCACGCGCTCGCCGTTATGTTTACTGCACGGGGACCCCGCGCCGCCGCTGCCCACCCCTGAAGCACTTCCCCTTACAACTGAAACCATATATTTCCCGATCGTAACATAACACTGACCAAAGCAGATTAGCCGCTTAATTGAATTTCCCGAGATTGCCGTTACAACGGGTTAATTAGGTGAATAGTTTGTGGTCATTAATTCACATAAAGAT